TAGGAGGTGGTGTTATTTCAATTCCTCAACAATTAGACTAAAAATGTTGTGTAGGTAATACCGTGAACACTTAACTTGAAAGCAGTAAAAATACGACAGTCATTAAACTAATAGATACATTAATTTAGTATAAATATAAATAATCAGATGTTTGCCAAAACGTAATCATCTAAGTAAGGCATTATATTTTCTATTGTATTTGATATAGTAGCAGTTAAGAGGTTATAACCAAATTTTTTTTTCTGGCTCTTTCTTGCATAAACCGATCGAAAAACCACATAGGTGTACCTCAGCATCGAATTCGGACCGCCTAATTAAAATATTTCGCTGACTTCATACAAGAAAAGTAGGGGCTTAATAATTATTGCCGTAAATATGTCGAAAATAATTATTTTTCGACGCAAGTGAAATTATTTTATGTGAATATTCGAAAATTTGAAAATGCCAACGGCCGGTGTCGTACTGAATTTGGTGGCTGGAAGAAAATAATTAATCATATTTTTTTGGAAACGCCTGCTGGTTTTTTTTGAGCAAATTGTTTAATGCGTATTTTTTCGGAACGTGGGAAGTGTCAATATTTGTTTTAATAATAAGTAATGTAATCATAGTTTTACAAAAGATACTACTGTGTAAGAGGTACTCGATACTAATTTTTATTTATTTGTTTATTAAATAAATAAATCATTACATAACGCGGCTTTTATCCCCGAAGGGTTAAGCAGAGGTATACATTACGGCACTTAATGCCACTGTAGGGGTTTTTAAAAAGATCTCAGAAGTAGCACGGAGTCTAGAATCGTGCCCGGCATATGGCAATAGGCTCACCTATTAGGCTCCCTATTACATGGGACTCATAACACAAATAGTGAAAATTGGGTGTTACATTGTATAGTGGCCTAATGTGCACCTCTGCCTACCCCTTCGGGGATAAAAGACGTGATGTTATGTTATGTTTTCTTATATCACATTATATATTTTTTTTTCAAATACCCTTCAGTTTTCAGACTTCAGACGTATGGTATTTTTCATAAACCATGATTAATTTTTTTCTAAGATAATTTTACGCAGTGGTTTACCGAAAATAAATAGTTCCGTACCATGTCGTGGTGCCCCGGAGGATTCAGACAACCGCTTCTCATGCATGAGGGTGCGGGCTCGAAACCTACCAACGTCAGGTACCAATCTGACATTTTCCGAGTTATATGTAAATTCTAAGATTATTTAAACACTACTGACAAACGGTGAAGGAAAACATCGTGAGGAAACCTGGGTTTATTATTTCTAATTATAAGTTTGTAATCACCAACCCGCATTGAGCAAGCGTGGGGTGATCGATGCTCAGGCCTTGTCCGTGTGAGAAGAGGCTTTGCTCAGCAGCGGACATTTATAGGCTGTTGATGATGATGATGTTGATGAAATAATTCCGATTTAGTTTTTACGGAATACTACATAATACTAATACACAGTTTACACAAAGAACAATAAATACACCCAAAATGTTCAGCTCAATGCCTTCAACTATGGATTAATTACAATAACAATTAATATTCATAGAATTATAATGATTTCGCGAATTATACGTAATAGGATCATGTGTAATTGAAAACTGGGGTATGGGGGCTGTATTTGTACGTGAATATTATACATACAGAGCTATATGTAGATACCTATCTTCTGATGTCTTGTATAGAAGCTAATATTGTGTGTACTTAACAGGTCGCAATTTTAATCGACTTCCCAAAATGAGAAGGTGCTCAATTCGGTCGGTATCTTTTGTTTTATTTATGTATGCACAATCAACAAAAATCTTTGATCGTAAAATACATTATTTGAATGAATATTTTTATAATTCAAAAAAAGAATGGGGCATTCTTTTTTTATTAAAAAAACAGCACTGGGATTTTCTCCTGTGTCGTGGGTGTGTTTACAAACATACAAGTTCACATACACAAAGACACCCAGACCCGGAACAACAACCTGTGGATCACACAAAGAGTTGTTCAGTGTGGGAATCGAACCCGCGATACGTTGTACGGCAGCCAGATGCCCAACCACTGCGCCAACCATGCAGTCTTAAACCATTACTTAACAAAAATACATTCGAAATCTGTTACACAGTAATATAATGAATGTCAATAAAAACTTTTTGAACTTTAACAATTTAATTTTTATTATATAAAAGTAGTAGCAACAATTTTTACGATTGCAACAAAATGAAAACTGCAAACTTACATTTGCTGCTTTAAAATTTTTAATTCAATAAATGTAAGCTTTAACTCGTTGACATAAGGTTTAAATAGATGCTACAATTTGTTTTCTAAGTGAAGTGTCTAGTTGGTTTGTTCAATAGTAGCAACACTGTTTTTAGCACTAACTTCGAATGCAGACGATTAATAAAATTTGACTCGATATAATTGCTAATATATTTTTCTCACAATTTTTTTAAACGTTGCCCTACACTACTTCATTCTCCTGTGTCGTGGGTGCATTTACAAACATAGAAGTTCACATACACCTGACACCCAGACCCGGAACAACAATCTATAGATCACACAATGAGTTGTTCCGTGCTGGAATCGAACCCGCGAGGCGTTGTGCGGCAGCCAGTTGCCTAACCACAATTTAATGCAATTAATTTCATGATTTAGTAATAAATTATTATACAATAATTTAATAATTAATTGATTGATAACAAGTTAACTATACAAATGTATGAGTCGGGGGAACCTAACGGGTTACCGGGGCTCCGGGTCGGAGTGCAGGAGTAGGAACGGGGTGGTTTTTAGTCAGTAAGAGTCTGACACTCCCTCCCGCCTCACCCGGGCGGGAGCAGACATTAGATGATTTTCCCCCCTTAAAAAAACAATGTATCAACCCAAGACAGAAATTACATAGTTTAAATCGATTGCATAAATCCCGCACAACTTCAAAATACTCAGGTATCCTAAAATACGAACTAAGTTCCTTGGATTAAGGTTAGGCGACACCGATTCAACTGATTGTGGTCACAGTTGCAACCACTATAGCTAAGCCACTACGAAATAGACCTTATTTACATCTAGTTTAGCTCAGTTTTAGCTTGTTAATTGGGAGCGACTGCTATTTGGGGCGAATGTATTAAATTTTAATACTATTTGTAGCTAAGGAGAAAATAATTTGGAATTTTTAATCCTATGGTTTGTAATATATTCGATTTTATGACAAAAAAAAACTGTTTTTAAGGAAATAATATAATAGTGGAAAATGTAAAACAGGAGAAGGAGAACTGTAAAACAGAAGGAGAAACTATTGCCCAATACTTATGATTTAACATACATTACTTTGCGACTGTTAATATATACAACTTAAAATATAAAAAAAATAATTAAAAACTAAAATATTTACACCTTAAAAAAAATTATAATAAAAGGCATCAAAGAAAACTTACTTATGAATTACTTATGAAATTCGAGTATTGAAAAATTTGCGACTGATTAAGTAATAATAAGTCTAAATATGTCTTTAATTTTTTTGTTATATTTAAAGTATTTATCTTATGAATTTTGTTTTAGTATTTAAAATACAATTTAAAACAAACTTTTCTTTGGGTTCCTGAATGTTTTTAACAAGATTTACATAGTTTCAGGCGATTGCTATATTGAATGTCACAGGGGCAATTTTAATTTGAATGTAATCATTAATATTTAGAGAATATTGTCAACAGTACATAGTTACTCAGTGTTTTTTTATTAGAAATTTAATGTTAATTTTATAACAATATTAAATTAAAACTATAAAACATTCACCTTTAAACATGAAAGTTAGGTTATAATTTATTTACGGCGTGGTCTAATTACAATACAATTAAAGAATACTTTTACTTCATAATTCAATATTTATGTCATAAATTTAATATTATATTAAACTACATACTTATTTACAAAGTATCAACATAGCTACTCATTTCGACGCCAGGTAATCCTGTGTAATGAAAGTATAATATACAAATTTTCAATATTTTAAAATGTGGCCAAAAACAGCGTCAGGCATTCAACTCAGTAGTCTGCGATAGTTGACTATTGAGAGAGCGGAGTAGAATCACAAAGATTCATATCCCGGGATCATCACCCGCTGTTCAGTCGAGTCAGTTAAGACCCTCCTGATGGCACTGAGTCATTGAACGCGCCGGGTACTTATACTCCGAGCGGTAACGAAACCATAGCGCGAATTTAAACCGGGCAACGCCATCTATCGAGCTATGAGACAACTCTGTGTATTTTTTTTTTATGTTAATTTTTTGAGTTTTATTTTAAAGAAATTAATAGATAAAATTGTGTTTTTTTGTAAAAAAATATGTATGTGGAAAATATTTTGAATGTAATGCATAGTTTTGTTAATCTTTGTCACTCTAGGGAGCTTTGCTTACCTAAAATCTGGCATACAGAAATAAAATAAAATATTTTATTATATTTTAATTTCATTCAAAAATAAACTCTACAGTTAAAGTTAAAGTTTACATTGATATAGATATCGTACCGTAAATTCCCAATATTTGTTCATACAAAAGTAGTCTCTACACATCGAATATAAGGTCTATAATGGAGTTTGAGGAGTGCTGCCACCGGTGACCGTGTGGGGATTGCACAGTTAATTAATATCCAACTTCAATAACACCATGAAGATCTTGTGTCACACTTAGTTTAAGATATCAAATGTATAAAAAAACATTGCGGCGTTTCAAACATTGCATTTCTAATAACAGATTCAATCAACACCAATACAACAGCAGTTTTAGTACAAAATAATATATATTTTATTTACGAACTCCCAAAAACATTCGCACAGAATGTACCATAACTAATTTCCCTCATCACAATCTCCTTACACAAACGCAATGATAACAAAATCAAAAAAAAATCAACACAAAACGTCAAATTGCTTTGTCAAACACCGCAACATTCATACAAGATTTATTTTAAATATATTTTCTTTAAACAAATACAAATGGTACGCAATTATTGATGGACAACGACGAAAAAAATAAATCAACAGATGGGGACAATACTACGACGGTCGATTTGAAACCGAGTGATGTTAAAAGTCAACGTTCTAATGCTAATAATGATGATGCAGGACCATCAGGAGCCAACAATCTGCCTGGAGCAGTTCAACAAGCAAAGTCCTGCTTGCAAGCTAAGCCGGGCCTCTCAAAATCCGAACACAGCATGCGACATATCATCACAAGCAAAGACGTAACAAATGCACTAAAATCTCTAAGCTTCGGCACACCAGCCCAAACTATAAAAAACTTAAACCTAAAAGAACTAAAAATACCAATCCTAGATAGAGATGAAAATGCTGACAATTCTACTACATTCATAGACTTAAAGAAGTTCATGGCTTCATGTTTTAAAGTCAACAGGGAACCAGCTGCTATGGTTTTGGGTGAAATACCAACTGTACCAATAACCACAGTGCCAATCACTAATATTCCAATAACCACGGTACCAATAACGACTGTACCAATAACAAATATGCCAGTAGTTCATCCAGTTATTTCTACTGTACCTGAACCAACTGAAATGGCTAATCCAAGTTATAGTAATGTGACTAATGTACAAACAGAATGTCGATCTATAAATACGAATGAAGTTATAGTTACGAATACTATTGAACCTAAAATATCTAAGCCTGATAAAAAGAAGACTTCGGGTACTCTGTCGGAGAAATCTGATTTGGGTATTACAGCTAGAGATTCTTTATCCAGTATTGGATCAAATGTTTGCAGAATATGTATGACGCGTGGAAGGGAAAGGTTGGTAGATAAAGACAAAGAATGTTGGAGACAAATATTTGTTTAGTAGTACAGTACGTAAGATTTTTTGGCAAACGTATCGTCTTTCTTCGTAAGACTTTCGTATTTTAGGAATGTAATTCTGTATAGATATATTATCAGTTACGTGTTATGAGTGGAGACCGCGTTTAGGCAAACGCAGTGTAGAGCGCCCTCCAGCGCGTTTAGGCAAACGCAGTGTAGGGCGCCCTCCAGCTAGGTGGAGTGACGACATCCGCAAGGTGGCTGGCAGTGGTTGGATGAGAAGAGCTGAAGACCGAGCTCAGTGGCGTGCCATTGGAGAGGCCTATGTCCAGCAGTGGATGAATACGGGCTGATGATGATGATGATATTATCAGTTCTATTTTGGTATACTCATATGATTTATGCGTTAAGTTTTACTTTCATTATTAGCTCTAGCAGTCCTTATTTATATTTTGTTAGGTCATTGTAAGGAAACGTGGACAATTGGACATGAAACGTGAAAGACATGGACGGTTAAATTCGCCGATCTGTCTCGAGCAAATGTGGTACCTAAGTAATGTTACCTCATTTCTTACATTAAGTAAGTCTTTCCTCAAATGTTGGACAATAAAATCAAACAAACTGACTATGATTATTATCTTCGTTCTTCGTTTCTAAAAACTGTTGTCCCACAAAGGTTTTCTCATGTGTCGTGTGGGTGTATTTACAAACAATTTCACATACACATTACACCCAGTCTCGGAATAACAATCTGTAAATCACACAGAGTTGTTCCGTGCGGGAATCAAACCCGCGACACGTTGCGTGGCAGCCAGTTACCCAGCCACCCCGCCAACCGTGCAGTCTTAAGCAATTACTTAACAAAAATACATTCGAAATCTGTTACACAGTAAAATAATGAATGTCAATAAAAACTTTTTGAACTTTAACACCCCGCCAACCATGCAGTCAAATGATAATTTGTTTTGTTATTGTCTTTAGGTTAATTTCCCCGTGCAACTGTAAAGGTTCCCTAGCGAATGTCCACCTCAGCTGCCTCGAGAGATGGCTCAATCAAGTTGGAAGAAATCATTGCGAACTATGTGGGTTTAGGTGAGTTCCAATAGTGTGCTGTTACTAGAAAGACGACATTTATTATTATTCAACCTTTTAAAAGATGTTTATAGTCAGCTGGCATGAAACACACCGCGTCAGTTGTTTCTTTGTCGGTTGTTCATGGCTACTTGGCTACGGGCCCTAGGGCAGATTAAAACTAGTCGAACGACCTAATTAAACAGCTATAATTTTTTTTAAGTTATTTAAAATAACACCATTATGATGTAACATTAATTTTTATTAAGATTTTTAAATTTTAATACATATTCTATGTTCTGGTTTACCTTAAATAATAGCAATACGCGCCTTTAGAAAAATAATAGCAATACGCTTCCCTGCAAAAAGTACGGAAATCGGCCAGGCCCAGGTAATTAACAAAAACCGATAAATATCTTCAATGAAACCGAATAACGACAAAAACGATTGGTCCAGAAGTTTCCGATATCCGATTGTTAAAAGTTATTTAACAGCGGTTTCAAATCGAGTGGAACAGTTGGCCAACTTGCCTCGGGCTTGTTCCTGCCTTGATCGTCCAGGTAGGGTTGTGTCTTGTCGCGGAGAACCTAACGGGTTACCGGGGCTCCGGCTCGAAGTGCAGGAGTAGGAACGGGGTGGTTTTTAGTCAGTAAGAGTCTGACACTCTCTTCCGCCTCACCCAGGCGGGAGCAGTCATTCGATGATATTCCACCCTAAAAAAAAACGGTTGTATCTTGACCACGCAATAGGGAGTTATGCCCTGGGCGCTTACTCTTGAAACCATTCTCAATGTCAATGCAATATCAATCCAATAAAATCTCAATAATTATCCAATGTCAAAACTATACAACCCCTATCGTAGCAGTTAAAGTAGCATTTAGAATACGGAATATAAAGCCAAACGCAATACCATTTAGTTCATTAAATATCCACGGAATACAAATGCAATGGGCGCTAGTGTTGCAACTCAAGAGTACGAAATTTCACAATACCAATGTCGATCGATCGGATTTGGATTCAAGAGTGAGCCCCCTGTACAGGCTGATAGGTTAATAGGATCAGGCAACGGGCGAAAAATAAATAAAATATATTTTCTTATTTCAAAAATATTGGGTCCATTCTTTTACAGTTTATTATTATTAAATTCTTAACTTAATTTAATTTATTACGTTATCACACCGCATTATCAATCTTTAATTTATTTTATTGTCAAATTAGTCAATGTCAATTTAGTTAAAAAATATCATTACATCTATCAAGTAAAAATAAGAAATGAAAAACAACATTATTTTTCATAATAGAATTAACTTAAGTATTTGCCTCCCTTTGGGGCACCGGGCACCGGCCACGCACACTTGAGTTTGCAACCAGTGCCTCACCTGCAAACCCAGAGAGTATTACATTTCATATATGGTCGTTTGATAGTTTAACCTTTCGAGGACTAAAAGTATATTTATATTGTTATGTCATTGTGATTAATTCTTTCACGATAGTAAAAATACAATATTGCAATATCGGTCCTTTTTCCACAACATTGCATTTCGCGGAAATGTTTTAATGGACCACTACCCAGCTATTTTATTGTGGGTGTCGGTACATTCTCATCACTAAATTTAGTGTGCCCGTTCAGAAAATATAGAGATGATGACAAAAATATATTTTATTCTGTCGTCATACGGCTGAAAGATCTTTAGGAGTAGTTTTGACTTTCGAGAAATACAACTAGAAATTAAAGAAGGTTAATCAAGAAATAATAATATAAAAATAATTACCAAACAACTTAATTATGTTTACTGGCAACCCTGGCCCCAGGTAAATTCTGGTAACAATTTAAATTTAATTCTATCAACTGCAATATTGCGGTACTAAATTATGCCTTCGGCTTCATTCGGGTGAAATCGGAGTTATTCGGGCGGGACAAACAACTTATTTTCAAATATTTCTGGAGTTGTTTGAAAGTGGAACTGATTGTGTTTCGTTTGTAACTCTTTTCTATGGGATAAGCCGGTAAACGATTAGACGGATCACCTGATGTTAAGCTATCGGCGTCGCCGGTAGACACCCGTAACACTAGAGACGTTACAATGCGTTGCCGGCCTTTTGGGGATTAGAAATTTAAGGATTGTTGGGGATTTAGAGGTAATTGGGCCTCTAGTAACGTCACTCACACAACGAAACACAACGCAAGCGTTGTATCACGTCGTGAAGAACATAACGTGGGTTACAGGGGCTCCGGCTCGAAGTGCAGGAGTAGGAACGGGGTGGTTTTTAGTCAGTAAGAGTCTGACACTCCCTTCCGCCTCACCCAGGCGGGAGCAGACATTCGATGATTTTCGCCCCTTAAAAAAAAAAAAAACTGTGAGGCCGTGGTATCACTCCGGTCGAGCCGGCCCATTCGTGCCGAAGCATGGCTCTCCCACACTTGTGATATGATAGAGTAATGATACTGATGACACTTTGTTCAAATACCATTAGACAAAGTGGACTTGACTGAAGACTGAACGGACTGATTTAGAAGTCATTGAGGACTATGTCAGGTAGTGAACGTTTTGTGGCTCATATGACGATGAATGGATAAAAACAATCATTATAATGAATAATAGAAGATTGATTCCACAACCAATCAATGAACACAATCATTTTTAATTAACAAAAGCAACTCAAATATAATCTATTTCCTAAAAATGAACGAAATCACACTAAAATCAATCAAGATTTATAATAGGCCCTCAATCTCTCGAATAACTCAAATAACTCAACCGGAATTTATATTCTCATAAAAAAATAATCTCAATCCATTATTGAGCTGTACAATTCGTACCTCCTTTCTTTTTATACTTATCTATGGTTCGTACCATCGATTAAAAAAGAGAACCATTCAAAAGAGGAAATAATAAAAAAGTTGATTCCAATAATGATTCGAATTACAGAGAGGTCCAAGATAAAGAATCCTATTCAATGTCCGACCCCATTCTTGTGCCGATGAATTTGTCAAAGAATTTAATATTTCAACCGATTTCGGTTTTGAAAACTTGATTAAGCTCTTTGGTAAGTTGTTCGTGGTTTGTTGGTCAAGTGACCGCAAACGTAAGGAAAGTCTTCCTAAGTTCCATTTTACGATGTCGTGGATTAATATGGACACATATCTGTCTCGTTTTCATTAGGTAATTAATAGCTGATGCCCGCGACTTCATTTCCGTAGAATATGAATTTTTGGACACAACCTTTTTTATTCCAATTTTTCAAAATAAAAGTAGCCTATATTACTCCCTAGTACATCAGCTACCTGCCAATAAAAGTCCCGTCAAAATCGGTCTAGCCATTCCAGAGATTATCCAGTACAAACGGACAGACAGACAGACAGACAAAAATTGGGCATGATCACCATCGATACCGAAACCAAAAATTTGGTTTTTAGAACTTTTGTCTGTTTGTCTGTATGTATGTCCGGGATGAACACAAAAATTGCTGCATGGATTTATTTCAAATTTTACATGAATATTACTAACAGGTCGGGTCAACATATAAGCTACATATTATGATGCTATCAACTACGGGGGAGGATATTAACCTTCCCATGTAAAGCTGGATCCATTGCAGATACGCAGCCTTTACGTATGGTAAAGAAAGAAAGAAAAAAACATTTATTCAGCACCAGGCACGATGCAGCATATATAAAATATTAAAAAGACCATAAAGGTGTGACAGTGGAAGTAATAAAAACATTGAGTCGAAATATTAAAACAGAAGAATTAGAACAGAGACGCTGACAAGATGCCTATGCTAAAAAGGTCACCCACTCAGTATAAGCCAGGCATACAAGTCACCCAGCACTGATTTTCAGTGGGCACCCATGCAGTGACGCACGGATGGTAGCAATGTTGTATAGTAGATTCCCGGGTTGCGCTATCCCAGACGAAATGTATCATACTTTGTCGTCACCAGCTCATAAGTGCAAACACATAATTAAATGCATCTGCTCCCCGACCAAGATGGCTAATATCTCTAATTGAATTATTGCGTCGATCAATCATTATTATGACGTCACACCTGTTAGCCCGAATAAGAAATGTGCATCACAATCAATCAATGTCGGTTTGAAAACGGCCGCTTGAAGGCTTGAACCCAACCCTTCTTAATAGATTGTTATTATAAGGGTATTAAGGGTGGGTAAATATTGTAGAAATGCCTTGAGTAAGTAATAAGGCTTTTAGGTAGGATACAGAAATAGTTAGGATAGGCAGACGTGCATATAAGTAAACATCACTATCACTATCACTATCACTATCACTATCACTATCACTATCACTATCACTATCACTATCACTATCTTTATATGTATATATAATTCTTCTGTGAGTGTGTATGTCACTGAACTTCTCTCAAACGACTGAATCGATTTTGATGACATTTTTTGTGTGTGTTAACCCCTTAACATCCCCATCCCCGTTAGATCCCCATCTGGGAATGGTTTAGATTCACAAATAAGCCCGGCAGATGGCGCTGCAGTCGATGTCTAGGTTATTTATCCTAAACAGCTGAACTAATTTGAATGAATTTTTGTTTATACATTCAAGTGCATATGCAGGATATCGTCTGTTGGGTCCGTTATTAGTATATAGTATAAAACAAAGTCGCCTTCTCTGTCCCTATGTCCCTTTGTATGCTTAAATCTTTGAAACTACGCAACGGATTTTGATGCGGTTTTTTTAAAAGATAGAGTGATTCAAGAGGAAGGTTTATTTATTGTACAAATAATTTTTGTTATTTTAATTTTGAATTGTAGGTATATATATATATATATATATATATATATATATATATATATATATTTTACTGTTTTTTATTATTATTATTAAATGTAATATTTTATTAGTAACGGGCAAGTGCTGAAAATCAGCGCCGTGACTCGAGCACACTCGTGGCATTTAAGCTGAGCTCTTGCCTTTTTGCGCCGTCTTACTGTATTGTTTATTATTTTATTTCCTTGTGTCAGTGTGCAAATAAAAAATTTTCTTTCTTTCTTTTTCTTTCTGTTTATATGTATAATACATGCATATTTTTTTTTTTTTTTTTTTTTTTTTTAAGGGGGGAAAATCATCGAATGACTGCTCCCGCCTGGGTGAGGCGGAAGGGAGTGTCAGACTCTTACTGACTAAAAACCACCCCGTTCCTTCTCCTGCACGTCGAGCCGGAGCCCCGGTTACCCGTTAGGTTCTCCGCGACTCCGAATCGGCATCGGCCCTATTGGGCCCCATCTGTGGTGGTCTGATGGCTCTTTGAGGCGCGCGCGGAACGCGACGCGCCGTACGCTCGGGTCTGTTTCTGGTCGGACGGGGAGCCACCCATGCTCGCCGTCCGCAGGCCCGCGCTTACGGTGGCCGGAGATCGTCCCGCGATCCCCGACGCCCGGTGTGTCCTTCGCGATGGCTGGGTCGCGAGGAGGCAGCGCTTCGCTGCCTCACGCGTCCCGCCTCCTCCTTAGCTAGCATGACTGCTTCGCAAAAGGAGGAGACGGCATCCCAGTCCCCCTCGCTCCGCATCATGGCCTGCACTAGGCCCGGACGCGAGAGGTCGCCATCGCCGATCACTTCCCTGAGGGCACGGCGGTGCTCAGCCCACGCAGGGCATTCCGCTACGGTGTGTTCCACCGTGTCCTCAGGGCGGTCCTCGCAGTGATGACACCCGGGCGTTTCCTCCCGCCCCATCAGACACAGGTACCTCCCGAAACTTCCATGTCCGGTGAGGACCTGCGTCAGGCGGTAGGTGAGGACGCCGTAGCGTCTCTCAAGCCACTCCTCAAAGAGGGGACTTACCGCTGCAATGGCAGCGAGCCCAGCCCTCGGTTGCGACAGTCGTTGCTGCCATTCCGCCATGAGATCGCGCCGGAGCTCATCCCGCCACGCACTTATCTGGCGCGGCAGCGGAGTTTCGCCCCGGCGACGTGCCTCCGCGCGCATGTTATACACGCGCGCGAGCACCTTCGCCTCCAGATCCCACGGCGGTAATCCGGCAAGGAGGTTCGCCGACTCCCCAGCGATCGTGCGGTATCCGCGGATCATTCGGATCGCCATGACCCTCTGTGACTTGAGCAGCGTCCGAGCAGGACGCCGCAACAAGTTCGGCGCCCAAACAGGGGCGCCGTAGAGGGCCATGGACCGCACGACCCCGGCGTATAACCTCCGGCAGGAGGCGTTTGGCCCCCCGAGGTTGGGGAGGATGCGTTTGAACGCAGCCCCCGTCCTCTCCAACTTTGGAGCCAAACGTCGGAAATGCTCTATGAAGTTCCACCGACTGTCGAGGACGAGTCCTAGGTACTTCATCGCCGTCTCGACGCCGATGGTAACCCCTCCCGCCGTTATTTGGGACCCACCCGGAGGTGGCGCGTTCCCGCGGCCATGAAAGCACATGGCCTCGGACTTGTGGAGCGCCACCTCGAGTCCCAACTGCCGGATTTTTCAACGACTGTCGCAACCGCTGTCGCCATTAAGTCGGCCGCCGCCTGGTGCGACCTCCCGTGCGCTAGCACCAGCGTGTCGTCTGCGTAGCATATTGTGCTAACGCCGTTCGGGAGGTCGGTGCGCAGCACCCAGTCATAGCCGATGTTCCACAGGAGCGGCCCCAGAACCGAACCCTGTGGAACACCGCGTGACATCTCTCGCCGGTTCCACTCGCCCCGGTGACCGGGGTAGCTGACGGACCTGTCCGTCAGGTAAGCCTCGATTACACGACGGAGGTAGGTAGGCACCCGATGATATCGGAGTGCCTCCAAGATGCAGCTCCAGGGCAGGGAGTTGAAGGCGTTGGCGATGTCCAGAGACACCGCCACTACGACCTTACCCCTGGACACTGCAGTCCCCGTCGTGAGGTCTCTAACGCGCATGATGGCGTCCACCGTGGAGCGCCCTCTGCGGAAGCCGAACTGGCCGTCCGACAAGTCCGGCCCAATGTCCGTCAGGTGCGCGACGAGGCGGTTCGAAATGATTCTTTCGAAGACTTTGTATTGCACCCGTGCGAAGCCAGGGCGGGTCGCTAGTTGTTTGTAGTTAAGCTAGTCAAATAAATATGAGTAACCGAAGGGGTAGGTATAAGTGCATTACGGCACTTAGCGCCAATGTATAATGTAACACACACTTTTCACTATTTATGTTATGAGTCCCATGTAATAGGGGGTGAGCTTATAGCCATATACCGGGCACATTAATTTTCCAGACTACGTACGTACTGACAAGTACAACTGAACTCAAATAAATGAGTTCTATTTAGTAGGGTCGATTACACCAGGCTCAAATTCAACCAGACTTATTTTTATTAGGGTTTTACTTAAATATTGTTTTTTTACAGAGGAATCAAACGTGATACTCTGTTACAGTGTTCCTTAGTCACATTTGTATATTGGTTCTGTACACAGAAATATTAAAACCAACGTCTTTATTATATCTATGGTTCTATAAGTGATGATTTCAATTCCATCAACTTAACCCTTAAAAATGTGTCTATTGAAAGGAGAGACTGCCTCGTTGGCCGAGTGGTCGCAATTGCGACTGCCGGGTAAGGGGTCTCGGGTTCGATTCCCGGGTCGGGCAAAGTATTACTGGGTTTTTAAAAAATGCTCAGTAGTAGCACGGAGACTGGAACTGTGCCCGGTATATGGCAATAGGCTCACCCCCTATTACATGGGACTCATAACATAATAGTGAAAAGTGGGTGTTACATTGCACAGTGGTATAATGTGCACCTCTGCCTACCCCTTTGAGGATAAAGGATGGAACATACAAAATTGGTTAAGTTAAGGCACAACTTGACCACATTTTTGTCGCGGAGAACCTAACGGGTTACCGGGGCTCCGCCTCGATTTGCAGGTGAAGGAACGGGGTTGTTTTTAGTCAGTAAGAGTCTGACACTCACCTAGGCGGGCGCAGTCATTCGATGATTTCCTCCCTTAAGAAAAACCCTTAAACATGAGTTAGAAAAAACGTTTATAAAATCAATTAAAACCAAAGATACATAATAAGAGAAACGGATTGTTATAATTATATAAAACTGTATAGTTTTCTTAACAGTATTTTCAAATTACGATGACGTTTCGCTTCAGACATTTGCAACAGATCGTGGCATGCCACATGAAATAAAAGAATAAGTTAACATTGCATAACAAACGAACCTATGCAATGCATTACGGACCACGGAGGATTCCGTGTCTACCGCGGGAAAAAGTAAATAGTATTTTGAACCCTATTTGTTATTGACTGACAGTCTGTCGCAATCCAAGTTCGTTTAAAAATAAATTAGTAGATGCAAATACATTAACAAACTGTTTTAATCTTAATATTAACCTTTTATGGCAAACGAAGAAACGGGGCTCCAGATTGTAAGCAATTAGCACCACCCATAGACTCTTTTAGTACAAGAGGAGTTGCCAGTATTTTCGTGGGCGGGTAATAACAGTGCAAGTGTTGTTTCACAACGATTTTCTGTGAGGCCGTGATATCACTCCGATCGAAGTAACCCAATTGCACAGAAGCATTGCTGTCCAACGTGTAAAGAGTGATATATGCCTTACAAACCCTCGGTCCTTTGATACGGAATTCAGATGGTCCCTGCTACCGCTAAAATGCTGCATTTTTTCCAGTTACCCTGCTATTCGGACGCCGAGGTACACAGTTTTACAGGCGCTCCGGCTGTGGTTTGGTAACCCTAGAAATAGAAGTCATTTGCAGGTGAGCGATATTATTTTGGTCCTTCAGATTATAATTCAGTGCAGAAAATCGAATACGGCATAGAAATGTACGTCATTAGTCTGTGACAGTCCACTGGATAATGGGCCTTATAGCCAACGGGCATTAAAGCGGTTAAATGTATTCAAGAAAAAAAACTACAAAGCTATCAAATCGACGGCACAGTTGACGCGGTGGCTGGGCAACCGGTTGACATGCAACGTGTCGTGGATTTGATTTCCGCACAAAGCAACTCTTTGTGGGATCCACCGATTGTTGTTCCGGGTCTGGGTGTCATGGTTATGTGAACTTGTGTGTTTATAAACGCACCCACGACACAGGAGGAGAACCTAGTATGGGACAACGTTTTAAAAAAAACAACTTACAATACTTTTTTTGTGGAATAAGCCGGTAAAAGAGCAGATGGATCATGGACTGGGCGACGCCGATTGCTTACCATCAGGTGATCCGTCTGCTCGTTTACCGGCTTATGCCATAAAAAATAACATCTCCAATTTTTATACATACATACATACTTACTTATTTACTTTATCTTCAGTAGAATTTCTAAATTTTCTAAAAAGTTCGATTGTTATAATTTGTAAACCGCATCGAAGTAATGAATTGTAAATTGTGTGCATTTAAATGCTGTTCGTCTAAGTTCTAAGAGTTTAAGAAAAAATGTTCAATCAAAATGAAAAGTTTGGGTCAGACTTGAAAATCGTTGTTGGATTTATTCTTGCTTTGATCTTAAAATTTACTTCTGTACGAAAGAAAAGAAATTTCTTCTAAAACTCGAGAAGATTTAAATTTAGATGTAGGTACTATTCATGTGCTATTTTTAAATACTAAGCTTCTTCTTCTTCTAATCTTGAGCTATCCCAGTTTTTGGGACCTATAATCAACCTTGGGTTATGCAGGCACCTTTGTGATCACACATGCTACAGACAAATCAACTTGTCATCATTAACTCTTTGAGTACCGTCATTATAGACACAATTAAAGAACAATAGGTTGCGGTCACCGGTGTCCACACGGTGTTTGACAGTTTAACGTACTAAAATCTGCAGCTGTAGCCAAATGCCATTTATCGCTTGTCTACTTGTAGAATAGAAAACCAAATTATAATTGTCAGTGTCATTCCAATACACTTTGATTTCTACTCTCTCTGTAGACTAGCGCTAAAGTGGCGTTTGGGTACAGGCACTGGCGAGATAGTGGCCAAACATAAAATCGGCCCATCATAAAAAAGGTTAATCGTGAAAATTAACCATTTTTGTAGTAGAGCACTGGGAAAGCGACTAGAATACACTTACTTATAGTAATTTAAACCAGATATATATAATAATTGATTATCTGAATAATTGCTTGGAGGCTATTGCCTTTTTTTAAAAAAAAACCAGTAATACTTTGCCCGACCCGGGAATCGAAACCGAGACCCCTTGCCCAGCTGTCGCTCTTGAGACCAGTCAGCCAACAAGGCAGTCCGACTGCGACTGGCAGTCCATATGAGATTAACATGGTACAAGACTTCAATATTAAATCTACAAGCATGGCATTAATCTTCCAACATACTTATTTTATTTTCGACATAGACAGGGAACGTCCTCTACAAACAAATGTTCTCGAGAATGTCACTTCAAATCGAGAGTTACTTCGATCGATTATAATCACGGTTTTGAGTGACGGCCGTTGACGGGGCGACAAGGTCGAATCGAGTCCCGTCTGCTAGATTTAAAAGGTACTTTGCCCCAATTGAAACTGGCTTCCTTAAAGGCCGTTGATTACTTACACATTTTAAGTTTGCAATGAAGCGGATAGAAGGAATTTTGTCGAGTTATTTTTGGAAATGGTAGGGCGGGTGAATGGAGACTATGGCGTGTTTTTCTTTGGTAGGTACTTGGTCGTTGTATTTGAAGAGGTCGTGTCTTTATGTGTGTGTAGATTGTTGTGTTACAGTTTCTGTTATGCAGATTTTTTTTTAAGGGAGGAATATCATCGAATAACTGCTCCCGCCTGGGTGAGGCGGGAGGGAGTGTCAGACTCTTACTGACTAAAAACCACCCCGTTCCTTCTCCTGCACGTCGAGCCGGAGCCCCGGTTACCCGTTAGGTTCTCCGCGACTGTTATGCTGAATAGAATCATAAATTTGTTACTAATTGGCTAGTTTTCTAGGTTTAAAATAAATTGTTTTAACTTTTCAATACAATAAATAATTCAAAAATAATCTTACTCTCATCCATTGATTTAACAATATACCTACTTTTAGATTTTTTCTCGCTTACTTTAAGGAAATAAGTATGTTATTTGACGCAGAAATATGATGACGTCATAAGTTGCGATCCAATACAAAATTCACAGAAAAGTATTTTTGACATTTCAATAAAAGTATTTAATTTGACTACCTGTCAACTACCGTATTGTAAAGGACAATTTTCGCCCGTCATTGGTCAAGATTATTCTCCAAATGTGATGGCTGACCGCGATCCAGCTCTCTTCGAGAGTTCGAATTGACGTCTTACACAATAGCATATCTGCTTGCCAAGTGTGAAAATTTTCGCAAATCGCTCTGAAATGAAAAAGAAAATCTAAAGTGCAGTGGACTGTCATAAGCTGCTGATTATACATCACATAAAAGTTGTGATATTAATTAAAGACACGATTAAAGAACAATAGGTTGCGGTCACCGGTGTCCTCGCGGTGTTTGACAGTTTTGGTAGCAGAGCGTGGTTAATTAATTAAAGCATAAACGCAGTTAGAAGAAACAAAAATCCGATCGACGTTTATTGAGTTTGCCGGTTACTCTCAACTCTGGTGGCGTCACTCAGTAAATTTGAATAATCCACCTCTTAAAATCAACATGGTTAACTGTCAAACACCGCGAGGACACCGGTGACCGCAACATATTGTTCTTTAATTGTGTCTTTATTGACGATACTCAAAGGGTTAAAAGCTGTAAAAGGAGCCAGTATAATACCAGCGCGAGACCCTGTCTTGCACATTCTGAACTGGTCACATTTCACGGCAGACTTGGGACATGAATGTCCATCAGTACCTACTAATACAATAACACATATTATGTGCACGTCACTTGGTTTTTACCGTGTGAAATAAGGATGTTTTCTTTCTTTCTTAATGATAATGCCTTAAGTTCTTATAAAATCGCAGCTTATCCACAATTTGCCTCTTGTAACTCCCTCAAACTCTTAACATCTGGCTCAGCTTTGTTATTTCGATGGAAATTTATCCCGGTTTCAATTGACACTCGAGATGTTTGGCCAAACCAAAGTCGATTCACATTAAAATTATTTGATTAAGCTTTGGATTGTGGCTTTAGATAACGGATTTATATTCTTGGTTAGTGTTAGAGTTGCCCGTGACTTAGTGCGCGCATAAATGTCCGTTTTTACCGTTACGTTTTTTTTTGGTTTTTTTCTTTGATTGTCTACTACAACCACCACAGATGTAATAAAGATTTCTGTGACAATCACTATGATGAAGGCCATAGGCCCTTCGCGGAGAACCTAACGGGTTACCGGGGCTTCGACTCGAAGCGCAGGAGAAGGACGGGATGGTTTTTAGTCAGTAAGAGTCTGACACTCCCTCCCGCCTCACCCAGGCTAGAGACAGGCAGACATCCGATGATTTTTCTCACTTAAAAAAAAACATACCCGGGCTACTGCTAAGTAGCCGTACTGTCTATGACAGTAAAGCTACGAATAAACAAAAAACTGACAGAATATCCTGTAGTCTTATGTCGAGTACACTCAGACCGAAACCCGAAAATTCTTTGTTTCGTGTAGAAATCGAACATAAGTAAGTATTAACTTGTGAAACAGTGAACTGACTAAACTGAAATTCCGACTTAGGACCTGCCCACTTATTTTATTTGTAAGTAAGTTGTCTATAGATTTTCAATCATAGTACTTAGGTAGCAAGTTATAAAATGAAACGGTCTGCATCGTTTCTCAGTAGCAGTATATTTATCAAAAGCAAAGAGGTTGGCTAAAAGACTAGATTGAAATCATTTTATTTCATTTAAGTAAGTACTAGATGTGCTGAACTACTCTTTGAAAGGGGTAAGGTAAAGGGGACTTTTCCAGGAAATTTAGAAACGCTTAACCTAAAACAAAGAATTTGTGGACGTTTCTAGATAGCTTGAGTTAGTTTTCTTGCCACTTGAGACTTAAATGTAAATCTATTGAAATGTTTCGGTTCTAGGAAACCAGGTAAGAGCTAAAATAAAGTCTGTCTTTTGGGGTCAATCCTTACTAATATTATAAATCGGAAAGTGAGTTTGTTTGTTTGTTCCGCTTTCACGCCGTAACTACTAAACCGATTGCTTTGATTTTTTGCACACGTAAAGTTAGAAATCTGGATTAAATAATAGGGTACTTTTTATCCCGAAAAAAATTGTTATTCTCGAGGGAAACTAAATTATTAGTATAGATGGCGCTGTGTGTACTGATATATGGCACATAGGCTACTTTTTATCTCTCTACTTATATCTTTTTACTTTAGTGACGCGAGCGAAGCCGTGTGTAAAAGCTAGTGCTGTCATAAGTAGATCGGAATAAAATTAAGGTACTAAATAACTATTACCTAGATGTTGTTAAGTTGGTACATTTTTAATTGTTGTCTCCCCCTTAGTGCTATTTATAAATAATATGAATGATGTAGGTAGGTAGGAACCAACTAGACAACAAGTATCTACTTATTGGAAATACTACTCCTGATTTATTTTATACGCAGCTGGTTCTTTCGTCTGAGCAGGTTTTAAGTTTAATGATCTTCGAAATGGCTAAACCGTTTATCATGAAACTTCAAATTAGGAAAAGATTTATGAAGTTAACATCGTTAATTAAATTTTAAGAACATGAGGTCCTCTAAAGACGTAAACAAGGGTCTTTTAGAAAATTAAATTCAACAACATACGACGTCACATCGTTCAAAATGAACCGTTTCTCAAACGTTGACAATATTTCACACGACGCGTTGACCACAAAATGGCGGCTAGGCAAAGATGGCTGACGAGCCTTGACGTGACACGACACGCATATATTGGATTTCTGTTGTCATTCTGTCATTTATTGAATTACGGAACGTCTCCCCGGCTTCTGCTTTGTTGTGCTCGAATAATATTAAACTTACTCATCTCTGTACGTCAATTTTTTAGCTTCATGATATTATTGAAGGGTTTATGTGGTTTTTTCGTTGTATATTCCTTGTTGCTTTTTACCTCTAGATAGGGTTCGTTCTAAATTGAAATGAAACTCAATATTTGGGTGGCTTTGGAATGCGTTCTTTTGTCGGAAATCGTAAGACACGCCTTGAGTAAACGAATCTATGGAGTAATTATGCTCTTGTGAGGGCAATTTTATTCGAAAGAAAAACCATTTATTTGGCAATTAGCACACAAAACAAAGATTATAAAAAAAAAATACATATATATAAACAAAATACTAATAATAAACTTACAAGAATAGAGATCAGAACAAAAAACATCACAATATAACAAAATAATAATACGATAATAACAGAATTCATCGTCTGCCTTTAATTTATGCAGTAGTTATTCTGCAGTAGACATATTCAAAATTAAACAATATAGTCGGTAATTAAAAACATTATACTGGAGTCCAATAGGAGTAGGTAACTCTGATCCTCAATCACAAAAGTGTGCGTACCTAATGTATGTACCTACCTAAGTACCTATACCAGAACATCACTCCGGTAGGTAAAGAGGTACTTTTGTACCCGCCTACACCCACTTTCCAGTAGACGTATAATTAATCCCATTGTAATAGGGGCGGACGGGTTTCTAAAGGTTCTCGCGCAATTCAAAACTCAACAATATTGACTTCAAAATAAAAAATCAGGTAGGTACAATATAATTATTTATATCGTAGGTGAATACGAATAGATAGATCACCTGGTGGGAAGCTATCAGCTCCGTATATGAACATACGCAACATTAGAGAAGCTACACTTGTGTGTGCCTTCCAGGCTTTGGTGGTTGCCACTCTTCTAGGTGGTAAATAAGTGAGGGTGAGTGAGCAAGAGGAATAATTGGACATTGAGTACTCACTCATATGGCGAAACAAAATGCAAGCGTTTTTGCACGCCAGTTTTCTGTAGGTGATTTTAATGTTTAATGTCCGTTAATTTTGATTTTAATGTCCGTCTGGTAGATTATTTTAAATCATTAGATCACGTATTTTTTATTTTCTTACAGAAACGAATACTTTCGATTTCGACGATATATTGATTGAAATGTCGCGTGACATCACTTCTATGTACATTTTATACGCAGAAATGACGTTTTAGCCCCCTTTCCTAAACGTTGTTTCATTTTATCTAAGTACTAGCTTTTACCCGCGGCTTCGCTCGCGTCACAAAAAGATAAAAAGTAGCCTATGTGACTATCCATCCCTTCAACTACCTTCAGTTAAAAATCACGTTAAGTACCTCCGTTTTGCCGTTTAAGACAGGCAAACAAACAAATAGCTATTCGCTCGCGTAGAATTCGGTTTTATCACGCTTTTTAGATTTTCCTGTGGGAATGAGAAGTTCTGCCGCGGTAAAGCCTTTCTGTTCCAGGACTTGAAAAATTTCTTCAAAATCTGTTCAGCCGTTTAGCGTGAAAGAAGAACAGAAGGAGTTATTTCGCATTACCACAAATAAATACCATCCTCTCATTTTAATTTAAAAGACTTCTATTTTCTATAAGGGTTTCATTTGCAATGTTAAACCAAAACTGAGTGGTAAACTATATTATTATACGTTTTACTATCGAAAACCTAACTCTATAAAATACGCAATTTAATGTAAAATGGTTGGAACCAAAATTTCAAAGCGAAAAATACTTAAAAAACACAACGCTTCCCCGTTTTAAAAACACCCAGCGCCATCTATCGCCAAGTAGCGTAACTACTACATAGACACCAATTTCGTGTACCTTTAACAACCTAAAATCTATAAAATACGCAATTTAATGTAAAATAGTTGGAACCAAAATTTATAAAACACTCAGCGTCATCTATCGCCAAGTAGCGTAATTACTACATAGACACCAATTTCGTGTACCTTTAAAACCTAAAATCTATAAAATACACAATTCAATGTAAAATGGTAGGAACCAAAATTTAAAAGCGAAAAATACTTAAAAAACACAACGCTACCCCGTTTTATTAAGACTCAGCGCCATCTATCGCCAAGTAGCGTAACTACTACACAACGTTACCACGGTGTTTTTTAAGTATTTTTAAATATAAAACAGCAAATAAATGAGTCACCGAATAAGTGTAGATTAACACCAAATAAGCGCTATAGATTAAAGCGTGAATTTCCAATTAGTAGGTAATTCGTTGAATTGTTTTAAATGGCATACAGCGCCATCTATACGCATACATACAGCGCCATCTATACTAATATTTTTGTTTTCTCTCGGGAATATCACATTTTTCCGGGATAAAAAGTACCCTATTATTTAATCTGGACTTCTAACTTTACGTCTGCAAAATTTCATAGCAATCGGTTTAGTAGTTACGGCGTGATGGTAGAACAAACAAACAAACAAACAAACTCACTTTCAGATTTATAATATTAGTAAGGATTGTTTTATAATACGACAAAGTTAAAAAAAAATAATTACCTAACTTACGGACTAATTATATTTTTAATTTTCATACCCTGTCATCATCCCAATTGTACTATCACTCCGGACTCCGGTCAAGCAGGCCAATTTTTGGTCGGACAATTTGAGATCTGTCGATCATAATTACACAGACCATGAATAATGCTAATACAGTGTATTCTTCAAACTTAAACCTAAGTCTCACATACAAAATCACATAATTCCTAGTACATACGGAAATCGATTCGCAAGTCGCGACACCCAGTCATGAGTCTTCCCAAAATCTTACTGTTCCACAGTGGATGATGAAATATTTGCGCCATATAACACTGTCGTTTCAAATCTTCGCCACTTGCCCAGAATTCCAAGGGCTGCTACCGCTTTTGACAAATATCCTTTTGACGGGAAGCTTTGGGGCCTTCGTTAGTTTGTGCTATAATTCATTCGGGAACGCTGAAAAACAGTTCTCAACTTGGGTTACGTTGTAACTGATATTTTTGGGGAACGTCTTAGTTTTTTTTGAAGTTAATCATTTTAGCGGCATTCTTCCTTTTCTTTAGACGACCTCATTGGTTTATTTGTTTCGATTTTGGTGCACAAGGTATTTCGGTTTCAATCATCGAGAAAGTTTGGATTTCATTTCTTAATTTTCGGATTTCTCAACTTGATTTATTGGTGGTTAGCTGTAGTAAAACTTCTCCAAGACATAGCAAACGATCGTACATCCTTCTTAGACGTTATTTGACCAATGCCTAATCTACAATAATATTCATCCCCTAAACTTTTATATCTACAGTCGGATTGTCTGATATTCTGGCTGCTATCGACCGTGACCGCTGGCCTGCTCGCAGTATGCATCGTCGGAACTCAATACTTCGTGATTGAGGGAACCAATTTTGGTAAGCTCGACGCAACAGTGCGAAAAGAGGAAGGTGTGTTTTGTTTTTGCTTTTTTTTTTAATTTTAATTTTTGTTTTTGTTACGGATCGAAAAGGAAATTTTGCTGGTTGGTTGTAAAAGATTGGGTTCTCCTTTTTTTTTATAATTTGACATTTGGGTTTTTTACTTTGTGCTTATTTTATTTTATTTTTTGTATAGTAGATAAAATGCAAAAGCAAAATTGCCTTTTTATATTTTTAGCTTTTTTTATCTTTAAGTATTTATTATAATTAAGTTTGTATCATTATATTTAAAATCGGAAATCAGTCGCTACCTAAGTGGTGAATGAGGATTGTACTATAGGCGATGATTGATTGAAATGTTTTAGTGGTCTAAAGGTTATGTTGCCCACAGCCTCACCATGAAGATGCGAGTTTAAACCTAACAAGTGATAGTTTTCCGAGTTAGAAGAACTTTCTAGGCGTATTCAGATATAGATATACACCACTAACAGACGGTGAATGTAAACATGCATCGTGAGGAAACCTGTGCCTTTAGCCAAACACCACTTTAGCGCTTGTCTACAGAGAGAGTAGAAAACTAAATGTATGGGGATGACACTGAGAAGTAACAAAATTTACTTCAATTCCATATAATTTGATTTTCTATTCTACATGTAGACAAGCGCTAAATGGCATTTGGCTACAGCTGCTGGACATGAAGTTTGAAATTGCCAAGTTCCGCCTACCTATCTAAGCGTGGTGATGAATGTTCATTCCTTCTACATGTGAGGAGAGGCCTTTTCTCAGCAGTGGGCTCTTATAGGCTGATGATGATGACGATCATGTGAAATAAGGTCGCCTCTTTTCAGGGATATCGCACCGCATCACGGAAACTGCAATGGATTTTTTTATGGCGATCGTTTTGTGCGGTTACTCAGTGACCGTCTACCTTCTTTGGAAGGATCATTATGTGATGTGGAATCGATGGCGCAGGGCCAATGTGAACGTCAGGCTACTCCTCACTCCTGACTCCCATCCCGTACCATTTGTACCACGACCAAGGTATAACGTGGTTTAATGATTTTATCGTCTTATTTAGCAACTTTGTGTGATCAGTACCTTTTAAATATTATATGGAAGGATTCTTAGTTTGATTCTGTGTTTTTTTTTCTTTTGTAGTTTTTACTTCCTACTTAATATTTGTTGTACTTAATTGTGAAAGTTTACTCTTTCATATCAAATCTACTGAATGGTTTTATGTGTTCTAGAAACACATATAGGTAGGCTACCTGTCTACTTTTCCGAATCCTGAATGCGAAACTAGATTGTACTACAATAATTTTAATTGGAATTTGGAAGGCATAAAGCTTAGCTTAGCTATTAATTATTTAATAAAGTTTTCCAATAAAACAACCAGTAGCCGTCTAAATTCAGTTTCAAACTATTCAGAACTATTTTAGAGAATTTATGAAACATGATTGATATCATGATAAAAGCGACAATTTCTTTTAGCTCTCATAGAGCACAATGTTATTTTTTCACAAAACACCCTGTTTACTGCCAGTTACAGGGAAAGCAAACGCCTATGATTTGCAGCCTGTGCTATTTGGCGCCTCGCCAGCCCCAAATTTACCTCTTATAGGTGCATGTTGAGTGGCTTTGTAATTCACCCAATGAAAAGATTAGATAGAGAATTTATGCAAAAGCAGGTGTGTTAGCAAATTGGCAAGAAGCCATTTTAGATTAGCTTGGGAAACACTTCTTGCTGCATTGCTTATTCCTATTGTATAATCTTGGTTCTTTATTAGCTAACACTACCTATATTGGTGCTGTAAGAAGCAGTTTAGCTTATAATTTAAGTAATATTCTAGGTAGGTAGGTAGATTTGAGAAACATCAAATTAAACTGATTATTAAAGAACACTAAGCAAAGTGTTTCACAAATGTGTATTCAAACTTTTGTCATTGCTATAGTACTATTAATCTTCCAAAATAATCAAAGAATTAATAACTATTATGTACACAACCATTATAATGGTAAAAACTGAGAAAAAGTACAAAATTAAATATAATAATAAAGAACCTGTTATATTGAATGCAGCCATAAGCAAAATTAGAGGTTGGACGGAAAACGGAACGTTTCTGAACGTAATTCGTCAAATTCAATGGCGGGCTGCGTTTGTTGACTTTTATTTGTTGTTGTAACGGAAAACTTAAATTTTATTAGAAAATATTGTTTAAATTAGATTTATAATATTTAAAGACTGTGTTTTATTAGTTATAAAAGAAATTTAGAAGGTTTAAAGATGAGTTTCAACTTTGGTTCTGCTACTACGACAGCGGGAATCACGTTCGGCACAAATTCACCTTCTACTGGTAAGTTTGGCATATTTATCCACTAATTTCTTGTAAAATAGGTTCTAAAATCTGTTATTGTGCCATAGCTACTCATTTTTGACAATTTTAAGGGACAATAATGCCCAAATTAGCTGATTTTTCTACTCACAATTTCTAACCTATATTTTGCTAATAATTGTGCAATATAACGTGAATTATCTACTTTAATTCACATTCATGTACTTATGATTCATCACAATTTATATAGATATTGAAATTATCGTATTCCAAAGGTATCATAAACAAAAACAACAGAATAATGAAATTCATACTTTTATCATAGATTACTTCTGATAAACTGACATGTTTTTACAGGTTCAGGATTTGCATTTGGCAGCGGTGATGCTGCTAAACAAGGATTATTTGGAGCTGGAAATGCAGGTAGGTACCTAAGTCAAAGACAAAACATCAATAAAGCTATATTCAGGATGTTTAACATGTCAAAATATCATTGTTTCAATCAGTTGTTAGTGAAGCTAGGTACAATAACACTAACATCATATAAACATACCGGGTGTAAATGGAACGCTCCGGAAACACCGACAAAAAGATTTACAATTTTAATTGTTCTTCTCTTCGTGTTATTCATGCAACATCAGCCTTGAGCAGTTGATTACAACTATTATTACATAAAAGAAACCTTTATACCTTACTTTTATGAAAATAAATCTTGTTTTTGCCCATCACTTGTCGGGAGGAAAAACATTTTTGGGAGAGTTCCGTTTACACTGTGTATAGGATAAGGTTTAATGCTTCTCACTACTACTAAAGTAACATGGATACCTTTTAAATGCTTCTGTTCGCGACTTTGTATGCGCAATCTCGTTTTCTCCCATTCCCATAGGATTTTCAGATTTTTTTTCCGTCAACAAAAAAAATCAGCCTAATTGGTCTAGCTGTTTTCAAGTTATTGCGTGACAACGGGAAATGTTTCATTTTTATATAACAGATCATGTCAAGTCACTTTAGGGTCCATGATATCATAATATGATATTTCTTTAAATGGAATGAGTGTTACTTATCAACATTTTAATGTACGCTATAATAGATGAGGCCAGCATATCCTATATAATTTTTGGCATTTCGGAGAAAAAACTACAGCTTGTTGAAAACAACCTATGTTCTAAAGTTAAATGAATATTTCTTTATCTCCACAGAAAACAAGCCAGCATTTAATTTCGCGAGCCCTTCAGGTGGAGGTTTTTCGTTTGGTGCTGCTAAAACTACAGCGGCTGCACCTTCAGTGTGTAAGTTTATTTTAATTGTTTATTATTATTTATCGAGTGGAGCCTACTCACAGTCGTTGCGGCAGGCTCAAAAGGTGATGGCTGGATGAATTGGACATCTATGACAAGGATTGACCGCAAAAAGCTTTACATAGAGAGGAGTGGAAGGAGGGTAGGGAGGCATTTGCCCTGCAGTGTGATGATCATAGCTGAAAATAAATAATTATTATTACTGTACACTAGCTTTCTGCCTGTGGATTCGCCTGCATTATAAAAATCTTGCACATTCCTCAGGAATCATACTATGTATTGGTAAAAACTTAAATAAGACCACCTTATTGGCTGAGTGGTCGCAAGCTTGGGTTCGATTCCCGGGCTGGACAAAGTACTACTGGATTTAAAAAAAAAAATCTCAGTGGTAGCACGGAATCTGGAATTGTGTCCCTAGTCCTACATGGGACTCATAACATGAATAGTAAAAAGTGAATGTTACATTGTGCAGTGGCATTATGTGCCATAATGTGCACCTCTGCCTACTCCTTCGGGGATAATAGGCGTGTTATTATACTATGATGTAAAAACTTAAAGTTTGAGTTTATCATGTTCAAAACAGATGAGAAAAGAGCTTTTGTTTAAAATATGCCAAAGCATTTATTTCAATGAAACTACATAGAGGAAATACATATACAACAGATTATTTTTTTCATCATATCAGAGAAACAGATAATACAAAACACCGGCTCCTGGTATAAAATACATACCCACTAACAGACAAGAGGATATTGATCTGTCTGTCTGTCTATTAGTAAAGTTATCTTCCAAACTTCCAAAGTTTACAACAAGAAAAGAAACATTATCATTTTCTACTCATTTAAAAAATATGGTATCAAATTTTTCACAGTTTCAACACCGGTGACTAGCAGTGCGGCTCCAGCGTTTGGTGCTTCTAAGCCTGTAAGCTTTGGAGGCTTCGCATCACCACCTAACCAGACGGTTGGCAGTCCAGGGTTTCCACAGGTACAAAATATGATATATTTTTTTGTAAATATACCAAAAGACTGCGTCATTGGTCATACTTGGGAATCGAACCCGAGACCTCTTGCCCGGTAGTCGCACTTGCGACCACTCGGCCAATGAGGCACTTCAGTGGATGATGTTCCACCCTCAAAAAATATGTGAAGCTATATTAAACTTATTCTTATTTGTATTCTAGAGTGGAACTACAGCAGCGGCACCTACATTTGGTACACCAACCACACAAGGTGAGTAATCCATATATATCTTATATATATAAAAGAAAGTCGTGTTAGTTACACCACTTAGTTATAACTCAAGAACGGCAGAATAGATTTGGCTGAAAATTAGTAGGGAGGTAGCTTAGAGCCAGGAGATGGACATAGGATACCTTAGGATTTTTAACCAATTTTTTTTTTACTTTTTACCGAAAATCACGAACGGTGACGGGAAGAAATGGGATTACGCGTACGAAGTCGCGGGCAGAAGCTAGTTATTATATAAAATGAATCCGTTTTTACCCTTGGTCACGGCATCACGCGTGACGGCTGGACCGATATCAGTAATTCTTTTTTGTTGTATTTGTTATTGTTAGCAGATGGTTCTTAAGACGCAGAAAATCCTGAAAATCCTACGGGAACGGTAGGAAACGGGATTGCGTGTACGAACGAAGTCGCGGGCAGAAGCCAGTTTCTTTATATTATTTAAGTAACTTCTGCCAGCAGCTTCGCCTGCATTCTCGTGTTGTAAAAAGTAGCCCATGTATAATTCTAGACCACAATCTCATCCCTGTTTGAAATTTTATCCCAATCTCTTCAGCCGTCTTGACGTGATAATATGTAGTATAAGCAAATAGTATAACTTTTCATTTATTTCTTGACGTTCAAAAGTTCCTTTTTAGTCTAATTGAAATAAATGACTTTGACTTAGTACCTGGATGACCGATCTTTGGTCGGTGTTTGTTTTAGTAAAACATTTTTTTTGAAAAGAAAGAGAACATGTAGAAATATAATGTACATAAAATGAAAAATAAATTGAATGTCCTGCATAGCAGGCATCCGCTCTCTGTACATCCTTCTGTCCTATTTTAAAAAGATTCCAATCCTTACTTAATTCTGGTAAAGACATAAAGTAATATTGTTCCAATACCATTTATTCCAGCTACAACCGGTTTCGGGGCATCACCTGGCACTGGTTTTGGTTTCGGCCAATCAGCAACCACACAGCCGTCTACAACGGGCTTCGGTGGGCAAGCAGCTACAACCGGTTTTGGCAGTCCACCGGCAACCACTGGTTTTGGCAACCCGCCAGCTGCGGCTACCACCGGTTTTGGTTTCTCTACACCTGCTTCTGGTTTCTCTGCGCCTCAACCTCAAGCTAGTACTGTAAGTGATAGACATACTACTACTATAAAAAAATTACTATAATGACTGGCATAAAAGACCAAATAATAATTCCCAACTCGAGAATCGAACTTGAAACCTTCGTGAAACTAAATTAATAATAACTCAGTAGCAGCGCGACAGTCGCCGCGGCGCGGGTCGCGGAATGCTGCTCATGAATATGAGCCTCTAGCTTAATAAGTTTTCAGCGTGGTACATCAGTCTTGACACCTGAAAGATTTTTAATACTAGCTTTTACCCGCGCCATCTATACCAATACTTTAGTTTTCCCTCGGGAATACCAAATTTTTCCGGGATAAAAAGTACCCTATTATTTAATTCAGACTTCTAACTTTACGTCTGCAAAGATTCAAAGCAATCGGTTTAGTAGTTACGGCGTTAAAGCGGAACAAACAAACAAACTCACTTTCCAATTTATAATATAAGTAAGGATGCCGCCTTTTTCATGGAACTAGACTCTATTATAACATTAACAATTCTCTCTGTCTGTGGATCACGGGCAAGACTTCATTTTATTTGAGCCCTGGTATTTTAAGTTTTATATTATTTTCCGTCTTGACTACCTCGTTGGCCCAGTGGTCGCAAGTGCGACTGCCGGGTAAGGGGTCAGCAAAAATCTCGGTAGTAGTACGGAGTCTAGAATTGTGCCCGGTATATGGCAATAGGCTCACCCCCTATTACATGGGACTCATAACTTAAATAGTAAAAAGTGGGTGTAAGACTGTACAGTGGTATAATGTGCACCTCTGCCTACGTACCTGATGTTATGTTATTATTTTCTGTTTACCTTCGCTTTGTATTTTAATTTTTTGTAGTTGTTAAGTCCATGTGTGCTCTGCGCAGAAATAAATGGTTTTTCTTTGTATTTTTTATAAATATGTAATATTATTTTATCCATCGACCATGAACTGAATCGATTTACTCTCCATCAGGCGGCAACTACAACGTCAGCTCCTCAACCAACCAATTCATTCCTGGGCGGGGCCACGACAGGTTTCGGCCAATCAGCGTTCGGCGCTAAACCAGGCTCCGCCTTCAGTTTTGGTGGGGGTAACACAGCTGCGCCTGCGTTTGGTACTACGCCTGCTACCAGTAAGTTATTACTGTGTATTTTGATACCTTTCTATTTTTTTTAGTCTGTATCCTAGGCCTTTAGCCAAACGCCACTTTAACGCTTGTCTACAGACAGAGTAGAAATCAAAATGTATGGGGATGACACTGACAAGTGTCAATATTTACGTCAATCCCATATAATTTGGTTTTCTATTCTACATGTAGACAAGCGCTAAATGGCATTTGGCTACAGCTGCTGGTGACACTGCGGTACTGCGCGACCCCGGCGCCCTCGCTGGTCGCTAACATACACGTTTTACATTGAGACCAACGGCCGTATGCCCCAAAACATTCGGAGTCGCGGAGAACCTAACGGGTAAACGGGCTCCGGCTCGACGTGCAGGAGAAGGAACGGGGTGGTTTTTAGTCAGTAAGAGTCTGACACTCCCTCCCGCCTCACCCAGGCGGGAGCAGTCATTCGATGATTTTTCCTCTTTAAAAAAAAACTGACCCGACACAGACCCACTCGATTTTTTTAAAACAAAAAAAAAAAGACCCGCGGAACTCGGAAACATCTTATAAATAAAATGTTAAATATACACTGCTGCCTGCCTCGACTGCCTGAGTGGTCGCAAGTGCGACTGCCGGGCAAGGAGTCTCGGGTTCGATTCCCAGATCGGGCAAAATATTACTGGGTTTATAAAAAAAAAATCTTATTAGTAGCACGGAGTCTGGAAATGTGCCCGGTATATGGCAATAGGTTCATCCCTATTACATGGGACTCATAACATAAATAGTGAAAAGTGGATGTTACTTCTGTGTGCACCTCTGCCTACCCCTTCGGGGATAAAAGGCGTGATGTTATGTTATGTTAAGTTAAATATACAATTTTTATTACTTCCAGCAACCACAGCAAGCGCGTTCGGTCAGAAACCAACGCTGGGTTTTGGTGCAAGCAGCGCTACTACAGCTCCTACGAGTCAGACTACGACTACACCTGGACAGACCGGGCTTAGTTCTGGAATAGGCTTCGGCCAAACTACGGCCACTACTGCGCCGACATTCGGTACTGCGACTCCAAGCTTCCAGGCTGGACAGTTTGGCAGTTTGACTGGTGCACGTGAGTTTTATTATTTACTAGCTTTTATACCCGCGGCTTCGCTCGCGTCACAAAAGGATAAAAAGTAGCCTATGTGACATAAACCAATACACACAGCGCCATCTATACCAATACTTTTGTTTTCGCTCGGGAATATCAATTTTTTCCGGGATTAAAAGGGAATATTATTTAATCCGGACTTCTAACTTTACTTCTACAAAAATTCAAAGCAATCGGTTAAGTAGTTACGGCGTGAAAGCGGAACAAACAAACACACTTTATGATTTATAAGATTAGTAAGGATTATTTACTTCCGCGCGGTTTCATACGCTCTGCTCAGCTCCTATTGGTTGTAGAGTAATGTTTTATAGTCTATAGCCATCTTCTATAAATGCACTATCCAACACAAAAAGAATTATTCAAATCACACTTGTAGTTACGAAGATTAGCGCGTTCAAACAAACAAAAGAACAAACTATCCGCTTTATATAATAGTATAAGATTGAAATTAATTGTATTTATATACCAAAATCTTATTTATTTATTTATTACTAGCTTTTACCCGCGGCTTCGCTCGCGTCACAAAAGGATAAAAAGTAGCCTATGTGACTATCTATCCGTTCAACTACCTTCAGTTAAAAAATCACGTTAATTAATATCTCCTCATATACTCATATCTTATCTTTACTCTACAGTACGCTGTTCAATCCTACTACCCCTCATTATCTCAAAGAACGTTTCCAGTTCTTCCATGACACACATTCTAGACCAGTACGGTCATCGGAGGACATGAAGCTTGAAATGCCCCAGCATGCGAGCAGATCATTTGACAGATCTTTTACAGTTCGAGCTGTTCGACTGTGGAATGCTCTGCCACTTTCTATAAGACAAGCAGATTCACTTGTTGCATTCAAAGCACTCGTGAAAAAGCATTATCTCTCCACGTTGTAGTTTACCATTACTATTTCTTTTCTCTCTTTGTTTTTTCTTTACTGTTGTCTATTCATTGTTCATACTATATTTTATTTATGTATTTATGCATGTATATATATAGTTTTAGGTATATATTATATATGTTGTATGTAAATATATATTATTTTGTTTAGAGAATATATATTTTACTTGTACATATAATTTAAAAGTAGATACCTGAGTACACCTAGAACAACCTCCACTTTCATACAATAGTGCTCCATTCACCCAAAGGTTGCCTGGTAGAGATCGCTTTTAGTGATAAGGCCGCCTTTGTACCCTACTATTCTTTATTATAACATTACATGTATATTCTATTAATTTAAGGTGTACAATAAAGATTATTATTATTATTATCTCCGTTCTGCCGTTTAAGACAGGCAAACTAACAAATAGCTTTCCACTCGCGTGAAATTCGGTTATATCGCGCTATTTAGATTTTTACAATAAGTAGGTAATTCTTTGATTACCTACTTTAACCGTATATGTCAGAACAATGCAAACACACGCTTGACGCATTATACGAATGTTTATAATATTAATTCTTTGTTACTTAATTTACAGAACAATCAACGCCCATAAACTTCAGCACACCAAGTACTCAACCACAAACGGGGTTAAGTTTTGCTCCACCCTCAACCGCCCAACCGACACCCTCACTTGGATTCGCAACTACAACACAATCAGGGCTCACTTTCGGAGGGAGCCTATCTACTCCAGCAACTACGACTGCGACATCAGCACCGAGCTTAAAACCACTTTTGGGTCAACCATTACCTGCTGGCCAGTTTCCTAAAACTACTGGGTCATTAAGCTTTGCCCCAGCAACTGTTACACCTTCTACGGCTACTACATCGGCTGCAGCCGGCCTTGGAGCTTGGTCTACTCCATTAACGACCACCACTGCGACTGGGCTTGGTTTCGCAACAACAACTACATCGGCCCCGGCGCTTAATTTTGGAACAACTACAACTACGTCGACTTTGCAGACTGGGTTTGGTTTGACGTCGACCGCAGCGAAACCTGGCATTAATTTTGGAAAGCCTATTACATCTGTAGCTGCGTCGTCTGCAGGTAAAATATGTTATTGTAATTATGATAGTTGATACGTAGTGAAATTCTATACTTTTATTGAAATTTCAAAAACGATATATTTCTATGAATTTTGTATTGGATCGCAACTTATGACGTCATCATATTTCTGCGTTAAATAGCATACTTATTTCCTTAAAATTAGCGAGAAAAAATCCAAAAGTAGGTAAACTGTCAAATCAATGGATGAGAGTATGATTATTTTTTAATTATTTATTGCATTGAAAAGTTGAAACAATTTATTTTAAACCTAGGAAATTAGCCAATTGTTTTATCTAGTATGTATGTAGGACATTTTGTCTCAACTTTATCTATTAGGGGTGGTATAATCATACTTTTGTATAGATGAAGTTGCCATGCATGATCCTAACCATATTCAATTCTCTATTGGCCAAACAGCAGCTGTAGTATGTAGAATACAAAACCAAATTATATGGAGTTGACGTAAATTTTGACACTTGTCAGTGTCATCCCCATATATTTAGTTTTCTACTCTTTCTGTAGACAAGCGCTAAAGTGGCGTTTGGCTAAAGGCCCAGCAGCTGTAGCCAAATGCCATTTAGCGCTTGTCTACTTGTAGAATAGAAAACTAAATTATATGGAATTGACGTAAATTTTGACACTTGTCAGTGTCATTCCCATACATTTTGATTTCTACTCTCTCTGTAGACAAGCGCTAAAGTGGCGTTTGGCTAAAGGCACAGGTCACATTATATTAGCGTCTACTGGTGACTATAGAAGGGTAGCCGGTATTATGGACTAAAGTGAACGCGATTATATTTCTGCCTCGTTGGCTTGGCCGAGTAGTCGCAAGTGCGGCGAGGGGTCTCGGGTTCGATTCCCGGGTCGGGCAAAGTATTACTGGGTTCGTTGAAAATTTTCCCAGTTGTAGCACGGATTCTGGAATTGTACCTAGTATATGGCAAAAGGCTCACCTCCTATAACATAAGACTGATAGCATAAATAGTGAAAAGTGGGTGTTGCATTATACAGTGGCATTAAGTGCCCTAATGAGCACCTCTGCCTACCCCTTCGGGGATAAAAGGCGTGATAATGATGATGTTATGTTATATTTATTTTATTCTTTATTACATACATACAGAATTAGGTTGCATTGTAATAGTAATTTGAGTACAATGGGCGGTCTTATCACACGCGGCGATTTCTTCCAGACAACCTTTGAAAACGATAAAATAAATATAATTTTGTTCAACAAAGTTATAGGGCCGAAACACATAACCGCGTCACGTCGCCGCAACGCTAAAAACGACAGTTGGCGTTGCGGTGTTGCGGCGTCGTGAAAAAGAGCGTTTTGTTGTCGTTCGGTAGGGTAACCAGTTCGTCGTGATTTTTTATTGGGGATAGACGTGTCTCTGTCATGGACCATCGTGAGAAACTTATTGCTTATTTGTTATTAAGAAGATGTCTTCTGAGAGTAATGTTACTCTGCTATGCTGGAACGAGCGCTGCGTTGCGGCGCCGCGCCGCAAACTGCCGATTTTAGCGTTGCGGCGACGCAACGCAGTTATGTGTTTCGGCCCATAGTCTTTTTTAAATATCTCATTTTGAATTAAATAAACACCTTGTCTTCGAAACTTCACATATTCTAAAAATAAATATTTAAAATAAGATAATTGAAAATCATGTCATGATGACGGTTTACAGAAAATTTCTTTTCAATACATGTTTTATTTTGTAAGAAAATGTTGAAAAAAAATTAACTGTGTCTCTTTTGTTTAAAAATTGGAATCAGTTAAAAAAAAACTTCAACATGATACCAACATTTTTCGGTACATGTTATTTTTACATTTAATTTCACTACTTTTGCATGCAAATTGCAATAAAAAAACCATAGACTTTTGCAATTAAAATTATCGTTTTAAGTGTGGGAGAGCCATTCTTCGGCACGAATGGGCCAGCTCGACCGGCCCATTAATGGCTACCGCTCCACGGCCTCACAGAAAACCGACGTGACACAACGCTTGTTGTGTTTCGTCGTGTGAGTGAGGTTACCGGAGGCCCAATTACCCCCCGTTTCCTTGCCCAATCTCCCCATTCCCTGAATCCCCAACAATCCTCAAATTCCTAATTCCCAATAGGTCGGTAACACACTTGTAACGCGTCTGGTGTCCATGGGCGACGCCGATTGCACCATCAGGTGATCTGTCTGCTCGTTTACCGGCTTATCGCATAAAAAATACCTCTTGTTTTTGTGGGGTATAGAGGCAAACGACCAAACGGTAATGGTTAGCGATCTATACGAGCCGTGAACACCTGCAAAACTCAAGGAGTTGCTAATACGTCATCGTCCTCTGGCGGCGAGCTTGTATGACTCATATGGAATTATGTTTGTGTTAAAGATAAATTGTATAAAAAAGCAAATAAAATTAGTAATATATATTTGTTTTGTTTCAGCATCCACAACCGCTCCGTCGGGCATCATAGCTCTCGGCAAAACTACAGCTACCACTACAATGGCGTCTTTGACTACAGCTACTACGTAAGTTTGTTTTTATACTTAGAGACTGGCTATTTGGTTGAGTGCAAACTTGCAAAGGGTAACAAACAGTCACGGGTTTGATGATTTCAGAATTAACAACAACAGCACCAAGCTGCTGTATATATTTTGTATAACGTGACGCGGATTTCCGCTCGCATGGAACAATTCTCAGTGTTTGGGTGTGATATAACATCACGCCTTTTATCCCCAAGGGGTACGCAGAAGCACATTATGGCACTTAATGCCACTGTACATCCAATTTTCACTATTTATTGTATGCGTCCCATGGGAATCACTATGAGTGATTCCCGAGTCGGGCAAGCACCACCTCGGGCAACGAGGCAGTATTTTCGAAAAAATGATTTATTTATTTATTTATAATTTACAACAATATAGACTAACAGTATTATATCTACCAAATCGTCTACATGTCACTAAATACACAATTAAAATATTTATCTACATATAACTAAAATTAGGAACAACAATGAGATCAAATACAGTTAAATATTTAGGTAATAAAATAAAATATGATATATAATCTTCTTGTATATAAAAATGAATTGCTGTTCGTTAGTCTCGCTAAAACTCGTGAACGGCTGAAACGATTTGGCTAATTTTGGTCTTAAAATGTTCATGGAAGTCCAGGGGAGGTCTGAAAGGTGAAAAAAAAATTTAGGCGGTACGAAGTTTGCCAGGTCCGCTAGTATGAGATATAATGATAATTTCAGTAACACAATTAGACTTAGTCATTCTTTCTTTATAGATCTTTCAACCGTAACCAACGAAATAGATTTTTAACTTCTATCAAATTATACTTCTATTTTATTATTTGTTTTCAGTACAACAGCCGCGGCGCCGCCACAGATAGTGACATCGATTACCTTCGCACAGCTCGAGGAAAACATAAACAAGTGGACGTTAGAATTGGAAGACCAAGAGAAGACGTTCATCAACCAAGCTACACAGATTAACGCGTGGGATCGACTGCTTATTGCTAATGGGGAGAAGGTGAGTCTTATTTTGTTATTAATAAAGTTTAATTTGCTCTGGCAAATTACTAACTATACAATTAATTGTCTAGATGAAGTAAATTTTGTGCATTACTTTGCATTTGTTCTTTCATCGGTTGCGAAGTTTTTCGAGATTTTGCTGGGGTAACGTTTTTGGTTTTGCTAGATCTTTGAAATGGTTAAGCGGATTCTTATCATATTTTGTACATGACTACTTAGGAATTAGTTTAAATTTGTTCTGTAATAAAAAAACCAAAATATATATAAGGTTATTTCATTAAATAGAAAAACACTTCAATTGGTCCCAGCATCTTCAATGAGTGCGCTAAAGACTTACTTTAAACGTTATTTTAAAACTTGTAACTGCCTACAAATGTATGTGAAGTTTCATTAGTATCCTGTAAGTATTGAACAAGTTATGGTGATATTGTGTTCTTCACGATCACGGTCTTGATGCACACGGTGTTATTTGGCCACTAGCAAAACCAAAAACGTTACCCCAGCAAAATCTCGAATAACTTCGCAGCCGATGAAAGAACAAATACAAAATAAGGCACAACATTCACTTGATCTAGACAACTAATTTTATAGCTAGTAATTATTTCAATATTTCCATTAGAAAAAAAAAGGTCTGGCTGGGGTAACGTTACCCCAGCAGGAAATGTTCTTGTGAAATATTTAAAAAACTCTAAGCGCAACAAATTCAAAAATATGCGCAACAATTACAGAAGCAGCAAAACTAATTATCTATAACTATCAAATTATCATTTTCGACAACATCTGGCCTGGGTAACGCACACTCCTCCGGGTCATTAGTATTGTGAAAAAATGTTTAGAATATTTTATTTAGTTATCCCGAACCACAGGTATGGATGCAGATGTACATATTTTCGACATAAATTCTATTGAGTTAAAAATATAATAAAAATATACATAAAGCCAAATATAGGAAAAGTTCTAAATTGTTGCATTTGAGACTGGAATTGTGCCCGGTATATGGCAATAGGCTCACCCCTATTACATCGGACTTATAACATAAATAGTGAAAAGTGGGTGTTACATTGTACAGTGGCATTAAGTGCCGTAATATGCACTTCTGCCTACCACTTTGGGGATAAAGGCGTGACGTTATGTTATGATAGTCATAAATATTTTATATAATATTTTCTTTTACAGATAGTAGAATTAAACGACGCAGTACAAACAGTGAAGAACGAGCAACAGAGCTTGGAACATGAGCTCGACTTTGTACTGGCACAACAGAAAGAGCTGGAAGATTTACTCGCGCCCATGGAGAAACAACTGTCGGAAGAAAATGTTGATAGGCTCCGAGACCCAGAGAGGGAACATATGTAAGTTATTTTTGCATTAAACCTTGCATTAATAAGGACCGATTTTTCCAACGCCAGATAAATTTTAATCGAGGAATAACTTTGAATATTTGATTTCCATACTATAAACTGTCAATTTTATGCTACAATTAGTATTAACTGATGATTGAAAAGTCGGCCCTAAGATAGTTCAAGGAATATAAAGTCTGTCTGGTTCCACCAAAGCCTCTGCTTGACGTGAGCTCCAAAGCAGAGGCTTTGGTGAATGCAGTCGTTTCACGACTGCAACTAAACTGCAAACCAAAGGTGCTTGCAAACGTCCGATTGTAGTTCTATTGCAGTCGTGACCAAACGGTTGCAAACGAAACGTGCAGTCCGATTGTAGTTCTATTGCAGTCGTGACCAAACGGTTGCAAACCAAACGAGCAGTCAGATTGTAGTTCTATTGCAGTCGTGACCAAACGGTTGCAAACCAAACGTGCAGTCAGATTGTAGTTCTATTGCAGTCGTGACCAAACGGTTGCAAACCAAACGAGCAGTCAGATTGTAGTTCTATTGCAGTCGTGACCAAACGGTTGCAAACCAAACGTGCAGTCAGATTGTAGTTCTATTGCAGTCGTGACCAAACGGTTGCAAACCAAACGTGCAGTCCGATTGTAGTTCTATTGCAGTCGTGACCAAACGGTTGCAAACCAAACGTGCAGTCAGATTGTAGTTCTATTGCAGTCGTGACCAAACGGTTGCAAACCAAACGTGCAGTCCGATTGTAGTTCTATTGCAGTCGTGACCAAACGGTTGCAAACCAAACGTGCAGTCCGATTGCAATTCTGTTGCAGTCGTGTCAATTGCGTTCAAATTGATCCGAATTGCAATTTGTAATTGGATTGCAGTTAAAATGCTGTTTGTCTATTTAGAGCCTCACAATTTACCAATAAAACACTTTGTCGTATTACATTTTTATAATCCTCTATTGTTACATTTCTAGGTATTCACTAGCAGAAAACTTAGACACACAACTGAGACAGATGTCAGAAGACTTGAAGGAGGTCATCGAACATCTCAACGAGACCAATAGAAGTCAAGACAGCAATGATCCGGTAAGTTAACATACCTCCTGTATATGTATAAGAGTCTGACACTCCCTTCCGCCTCACCCAGGTGGGAGCAGTCATTCGATGATTTTCCCCCCTTAAAAAAAAACCTGTATGAATACGGTAGTTGACAACTAGTCAAATTCAATACTTTTATCTAAAGGTCAAAAACGATACCGGTCTATGAATTTTGTACGAAATACCTACCATCTTATGACGTCATCATATTTATGCATCAAATAGCACACTTATATCTAAAAACAATGCTAGAATAAATCGAATATTAAGTAGGTATATCGGCAAATCAATGAAGGAAAGTGTAACATTTTTTTTAAATTAAAATAATTTATTTTTGGTTAAGGTATGTACCCAATTGGGTAGTTTCCTGGGACCAAAATTAACCAAGTCGGTTCAGCCGTTCTCGAGTTATAGCGAGACTAACTAACGGCCGTTCCCAATATTCAATCCATAGGTAAAGATAGATAGCTATCCTCGATAGTCAGTTAAAAGCTATCTATCTTTCGATGTCGTCCCAATATTACAGATAAGCATTGTCTATCTCCAGTTAACAGTAGATAGACCACTTATCCGTGCCCTCCCTAACGTTCCGAAAACGCAGTTCTGTAAAGGACTCTCAGTAATATTACATCAAAATTTTTATATAAAATGTCTAGAAAGTTATATAAATTTAATCAAGCATTGTCATAATTAAAAATTTCTGTATGGCTTTATTATTTTATCGCTTCTTACTTGTAAAGTATAAAAAAGTATGAAAAATTATCTTATAAAAATATGACGTGAATAGGAACACAATTTTGATTGACATTGACATTTGCATCGTTTGTGTGCAGTGACTTTGAAGTATTACAAATATTATCCCATTTAAATAGTTACTTTCAGTACCTACAATGAGTGTAGTAAGTATTTCCATGCCATTTTCACTTGCTTAAAATCCGGCCTTAAGATCCACAGCGTAACACGGGCGGTGTGATAATCGCCTTACATGCTATTGAACAATTTTCTTGGATCCGTCATTTCTTACATGTATACCTATCCTATGGTTTTATTTTAGCAACAACAAAAAGCCCTACCATTAACAAAGGAAGAAGTGATGATGCTGGTCGAATTAGTCCAGGCTCATCCAGTTATATTCAATAAAGCCACCAACGCAACTAACAACCAGCTCAAAGATGCAACATGGGCAAAGCTTACAGCGAGCTTCAATTCCATGATTGCATCCAGTCCTCGCAAACCTGAACAACTGAGGCTAAAATGGGAAAATCTAAAAAAAGCTGCACGGAAAAGAAGTACTAAGATCAGAATGAATAACTTGAAGGTAATCTTGATGCCAATTATCGATAAAACTCGTTTTAAATAACATATTTATATTTATTTTCATAATAACTATATTAAATTACAGACAGGAGGTGGGAAGCCCGACTATATACCGCCAGATGAGGCCCTTGAGAAAGTTGCATCTCTACTAGGGCCAACCTGTGATGGCTACAGCGTCCAGTTCGGAGGTGATGCTGAAATGGAAGTGGCTCCTAACACGTTGGTTGAGGTTGAGAAATCGGTGGAGGAACAGAATATTTTTGTTGTACCCTATGAGGAAATCAGTAATCCCCTTCCTACTACTCCTCCACCTCCTGCTTTATCGCCTCTGCACACGCTTCCACCATGCAAAAAATTTTTTTTTTCTTCTGCTCAAAGCAAAGGTATTTTTTTCATTTTATATTTTTTTATCCAAGCTACATTCCCATATGCTTGCTTAAAGCTTGCTACCTATACATTGTTTTGTCATGGTTCTGGACGATGGTTTTAGTATAAAAAGTTACTGCAAGTTTTTTACAGTTTCTACAGTTATGTAAATAATAAAAGTCATAACTTATGTTTGAGTAATGGTTAAAGTGGATAAAGAAACTTATACTTCTTTACTTCTTTCTTAGGAAAATTGAAGCGCCAAAATGCTGCATGTGATGTTAAGGCATCTGTGGTAGCCAGAAATCGGGCTATAGCAGCCTATTATGAGGAAAAGAAGAAAAATGAAGAAGAAATAGCCACTATTAAAAAAAGAAAATTGGAGTTGGAAATTTTAGAGTTGGAAAGGAGAATTAACCCTGATTTGACAAAGTAGGAAAAATAAGTTCAAAAATAAAAAGTTTTTAAAAGTAAAATACTATTTTTTATTATATTTACACTACATCTATATTTTATATTTGACTGCACAGTTGGTGTGGTGTCTAGGGCAACTGACTGCCGCGCAACGTGTCGCGGGTTCGATTCCCGCACGGAGCAACTCTTTGTTTGATCAACAGATTGTTGTTCCGGGTCTGGATGTCATGTGTATGTGAACTTGTATCTTTGTAAACGCACCCACGATACAGGAGAAAACACGAGTTTGAGGTAAGTGTTTTAAAAAAAAATCTGTGCACAGTCTTAATAAAATTAGACAATACATTTTTTATAATTATTTTTAATTTTTACTACAAAATTAAGTGCTAAACTCTAAATAAAGATAACATATTGAATATTTACAAAAATTACATGAAATAATTATTAATTAGGGACTGTCGTTCATAAATTTCATTGCCTATGTGGTTGTCGGGTATATTTTCATATATAATATTAACACCTTGTTCAGGGATTTCTACTTCTGGTTCTTGCTCTTCCAAACTCATTCGCCTGCATATGTTGTGTAGGACAGCAGTTGCAATAATTACTGCCTGGGTGGTTTGTAGACAGAGCCTCAATTTCAAGGACAGTATTGGAAATCGCCTTTTCCAAACTCCAAAACATCTGTAATAAAAAATTGTAAATTCTTTTATAACAATATATAGGTTCATACATAGTATACATGTATGAACTATTTATATATACATGTATGAATTAATCTTGATATAACAATAATCACAATTTTACCTTTCAATACAGTTCCTGGTAGCAATGTGTGCTCTATTATAGTTATGTTCATTTGGTGATACTGGATTCAAGAGTGGTGTCAATAAATATGGTTTACAAGGGTATGCACTATCACCAAGTAACCAGCGGTTGCCATAATCACCTCTTTCACATTTAGCTAGAAAATATAAAAAATTGGTAAAACAACAATATTAATAATAACTATACAAAAGACACATAGCCCATAATTTTAGACACATACCTCGTAACTCTGAATTGTTAAAAATTGTGGCATCATGTGCTGACCCTGGCCAACGGGCAACCACATTCATAAAAAACAAATTGGCATCACAGACGCCTTGCACATTCAATGTAAAAACAGACTTCCTGTTTCGGAATTCTTCCCCAATATTCGAATCTGTTGACAATAAATTTTAACAATAAGTTCAGACATACATGATGGTACATAATGTGAATATGCTTGCAACTTGCATCATCCATTAGAGCTCATAGAACAATGACATCGAAGTAGGTAGAAACTTTTTACTTACTTGGTGATTGCATTAAAATATGAGTTCCATCAACCGCTCCTAAAACACGAGGAAATCCAGCTATTTGGTAAAAGTCTTCTTGTGTATTGTTATGTACATGGATGTAGTTTGAGTACAATCTAGCGATAGCCTGAGAGACATCTCTGACTATGCGCGAGGCCGAAGATTTTGAAACTCCTATGTAATCCCCTATTGCCACTAACATTGTGCCTAATGCATAAAACCGCAATGTCAGCAGTAGTTGATGCAGCGGTGAAATACCATGATTGCTGAAATAAAACAATAATGTACATGAATATCTTGAGTGTAGGATTAAGGATACATAATTACAGCAAAATACATAAGGCATACATACCGTTTTGAAGTTACTTTTAGAAATGGCATTATTTCAGACAATAAATCACTGACTGCGGTCTTGCTCAATCTAAATCTATAATGAAAATCAATATCGTCATATCTATCAAAATAGTTTTTTCGCTGTTGTTGTAATCGGGTCACATTATTTTCTTCATCTGATTCCCAGTCACTCAGTTGTTCCAAGAGATCAAGATCACTACTTGAACTTGATGATTCTGACATTTTATTCGCAAGGTAGTACTTTACTTACCACAAAAACAATTAAACTAAACTTTAATATCTGGTAAAGACCCGTTATCTCCGAAAATCCGAGGATTGAATTATGACGTTACTAAAGATAATCAAACTTACTGACAGATAGGTGTCAAACAATATAGAGACGCAGCAAATGAAATTGTCATACAAATGCCTATCCCTGGTAAGCTACTTGACCTCCCGTCGATAGATAGCATGTAGGGATAGGATTTCATATCGTCGATAGGTTTATAGAGACCAATAATTTAAAGATAGATAACTCTTTCTATCTCTAGTAGGGCAAAACCAGAGATAGATTGAATATTGGGAACGGCCGTAACAGAAATTCATTTTTATTGATGTAGATTATCAGATATCTAAAATTGACAGTAGAAGGGCAGGGTAAAGAATGACACCTATATAACATAACACTGGTTCCACACAACATAACATCACGCCTTTTATCCCCAAAGGGGTAGGCAGAGGTGCACACAGAAGTAACACCCACTTTTCGCTATTTATGTTATGAGCCCCATGTAATAGGGGGTGAGCCTATTGCCATACATATACCGGGCACTATTCCAGACTCCGTGCTACTACTGATTTTTTTAAACCCAGTAATTCTTCTGGTTATTATATAATACATAAAAAAAACACTGGTTCCATAATTATTGGGACCGACAAAAAGTGGGTGTTACTTTTGAGGGGGAAAATCATCCAATGACTTCTCCCGCCTGGGTGAGACGAGAAAGAGTGTCAGACTTGCTCACTCGAAACCACCCCGTTCCTACTCCTGCACGTCGAGCCGGAGCCCCGGCAGTGGGTGTTACCTACATCGTAGATGTACACCTCTGTAACTTTTAGGATCAATCTTTTAATTTAAACTTTTCTCATAATTCATTCATTTTTTACAGATCGTCCAAATCGGCCGCATCCTCAACGCTCACATGTCATCAATGCAATGGATAGACAACTCCATAGCGCAAATATCCACAAAATTGGACCAATTGAAAGCCACACACGATACTCTACGGCGGGACAACGAGAGATCATACCAACTAACTTATAATTGATTAACAACTCTATCTACGTATAATATACAATTAAATTTTGAGTAATTCCGTCAACGCTGGAAGAAGGCGTTGTTACGTCTGTCAGATGATTTTCCATTAAATAAAGAAGTACTTAGGTAAAGCAAGTTTAGGTTTAGTAATTGCTACGTCAGGGTTTTTTCATTCAGAGAAAAAAAAGTATGTGTCAAATGTTGTTAATTAATTTACTAGATAGACATTGAAAAAATAACTCTGTAACTCTATAGCAACTTTTCAAGAATAAAAAGGGCACAGTAAAGCAGTATCGTTGGTATAGTTTATAGATTTTAAAATTAAATATAATTAAAAAAAAGATAAAACAATAGACTTGAATACTTCTTTGTATTGACATAAAAATTGTAATAATTATTTCCTCCTAAAAAAACATTGTATTTTCTAGTATTACTTCATTCATTTCTTTGTTAGACTTTTTTAAATTTAATACCAGTACAAGCAAATTGTTTGAAATAGATTGTTGATTTTTTTTAATGATGTAAAAAGTTCTACAGTGAAATAAAAGTGATTATTATTTCTTAATATTTATATATTACGTCTTTTATTTGATGTAAAACCTCAAGGCGGCGTTGGACCAATGTGTAGATGCCTACTTGGCGCTAAGTTCGTAGTTTGGCACCGTGTCCGTTACCCAGGCCAGATGTCGGAAACGGTCATTTGAATCTTATAGATAATTAGTTTTGCGGCTTCTGCTATTGTTGCGCACATTTTTAAATTTGTTGCGCTTATAGTTTTTTAATTATTTCGCAAAAACATTTTCTGATGGGGTAACGTTACCCCAGCCAGACCTTTTTCTTTCTAATGGGAATATTTAAATAATTACTATCTATAAAATTAGTTGTCTCGATGAAGTAAATGTTGTAAAACATTTTGAAAAAAAAAATGTTTTTCTATTTCATCAAATAACCTTTAAGCTATGTATTATTTTGGATTTATTTATTGCAGAACAAATTCAAACTAATTCCTAAAAAGCCATGTACAGAATATGAGAAGAATCCGCTTAACCATTTCAAAGATCTAGCAAAACCAAAAACTTTACCCCAGCAAAATCTCGAATAACTTCGCAACCGATAAAAGAACAAATACAAAATAAGGCACAACATTTACTTTATCTAGACAACTAATTGTATAGCTAGTAATTATTTAAATATTCCCATTCGAAAGAAAAAGGTGTGGCTGGGGTAACGTTACCCCAGCAGGAAATGTTTTAGTGAAATAATTAAAAAACTATAAGCGCAACAAATTTAAAATGTGCGCAACAATTACAGAAGCCGCGAAACTAATTATCTATAAGATTCAAATGACCATTTTCGTCAACATTTGGCCTGGGTAACGTACACGTTGGCACCATCGTTGGCCGGCCAACAAAATGTTGTCGGTTGTTCGTGCGCACATCAAAAGATCTCAGCGCGCTCCACAAACTGCGTTCAAACTTCCCCCAACTTATTATACTCTTTAGTTCGCACATTGCCGTCTCATTCAGTTTGTTTTCATTCGTCAATAAAGACGGTACTGTCCCGCGTGAGTTCTTCCCGAAATACAAATGGCATAGACGAACACTGAGATTTTACATTTTATTGAAATGTACAGAAAGGGCATTTATAATTCATTCACTATATCAGCCCTATGCGTTAACCCTATGTGTAGAGCAGGGGCGTAGCTAGCGCCGTTTCTGCCGTATCAATTATACGAGGCCCCCAGACCCAGACTAAAAGGGCCCCCAATGCGTGTAAGCCGTAAGCTAAACTTAAAAACTTCCCAGTAATTACAAAAGTCAAAAAATATTTTTTGTATAATAACTATCGTGAGACATACTAAATTAACTAGAAATTGCGGGTTACTCATACGAATAGGCTGTGCGACATGGCACACTGCTCATGATTCAGCACCCCTCTGTGGTTCGAAACTAGTAGAGCTTTTCTCAGTATGTTCACGTGATTTTTAGTTAATATTTTTAAATTAATTAAATTATGCGTTCAAAAGTTGGACGAAACTTTCGAAAAACTAAAATAGGTAATAGTTCGATAATTAGGGCAGAGGGAGTTGCCTGGAAAGGTTTCCGATTTTCACACAAAATTATGACTATTTTATGTACACTTAACCTTTTTTAAATATTTTGTTTTTCGGCTTACTCACGTAATAATTATTTAACAAAGAACTCGATTAGTTTTACTGAGTACTGTCGCGTGCCCAGTAGCAGCGCATGAGTTGCCGCGTCGCGGGTCGCGGATTGCTGCTCATTAACATGAGCCTCAAGCATGGCTTGAAACTAGTAGAGTTCCTCGTCAAATAATTATGTGACTAAGCTTAAAAACACAATAATTCATTTAGTATGTCTCACGAGAGTTATAATATATATAGGCATTTCCCCGCCTGCATCAGGATCGGCCATTGCGTGGGTATTTGGGCATATAATAAGATAAAACACCGAGTCATAATCATCACTAATCCAACTCTAACTTTATGAAAAATTATAAGATTGCGCGGAACTTTGACAGTTCGTCGGAGATGTCTCGCGCACACCATTCATAACCGTAATCTGGTTCAAAAAATATGGCGGCGCTGTTCTCGACATGACGCTCCGTCAGAATGACTTCTGTGGCTCTAGCCACAGAAGTCATTCTATGACATCTATGTCATCCTAGTTCCAAAACCAATAATAGACGGTGCTGTGACTGCGCCGTCATCACTGATATGATAAGACTATGGATGTGAAGCAACTACGAAAAAAACGTGCCTACCTAAACTTCACTTGGTCATTCGCAATGGCGGATAGAACTAGGGATGTGACTATTGAAACTGTAGAAGTATCGATATTTTGGTATTGGTTTTAGTTGCTTTATCGATAAAATATCATTATTTTATGATTCATATGGATTTGATTTTTATCTAGCTACTAAACATTACTAAAAATATTAGCGAAATATATTTAGTAGTTACTGCGTGCACTATTACTCCGGTCGATCGTGTCCATACATTCACATCATACCTTTCACGATACATATGTATCGTAATTTATGAAAAGGATTTACCATCAACTGGTTAACATTTACATACTTAAGGTTAAGTAATTTTTGAGGGTCGAAAAATAAGACTGTTTCAAAGTATTCATAAAATCAAGATTTATACATAATATAGTTACAATATCTTTGTATTTTTCGTACTGTTTCCCAGTAATGTAATCTGCAACTGACGACTGACTGATTTCGAGACGACTCCAGAACTGGTTCCAAGTTTATTTTCATGCACAGATCTGGCTAGAGGCTGCAACATAAATAGTATAATTTAACTTACTTGATTCAATCGAACATAGATTATCTCTATAGATTCTATAGGTTCTGTACTAAGGTCTGAATGAAAATGTTTGTACATTACAATGATAGTGATAGATAGCGGAGGAGTTATATTTCATTTGTTTGCTTCATTGGAGTCTCTCGAGCGGTATTTGATAAAAATACAATTTAGAAATAAATGCTTTTCCCACAAGTATTTTTCCGTATCTTATATTGTACAAAAATTATTCATGTTTTGTATTATTTATAACATTACGTAGGTATTGATTATGGTGGAATATTGTTGATAAAATAAAATTTTTGACGAGTACATATTTAATGTTTTTGCATTTTGTCATTATGTCAAATTAATGCACTTTATCATTCAGAATTTAGTATAGTTTTTGTTCTACTTTTGAAGCATTTATTAATATGAACGATAAAATTATCGATACGGGAACAAACATGTACATCACTATTTTTCAATGAAAAAATTTTTAGCCGTATTTCAACTAAAATTAATGAAAATAAGCACTGCATTAGTTAGAAAAGTATTGTATTTAGTCAACTTGCAGCAAGCTCACTTGAATAGTTTAAAAAACAGAGATATTTTAATGAAAAATAACAGTACTTACCGATGTAATGTTACACCTGCCGATTTAGTGATATTTTTAGTGCTACATCCAATAACACTACACCCGGGCATAGTTCTTCTCACTAACCAATAATTTCTTTGCTTACCACGCACAAAAATAACAGGAATTCTAAAAATTTTCGTAACAAAATATTATTGACCAATGCTTTGACAGCTGATGTACCACTGACATGCACTGATAACAGAGACCAAGATGGCGAATTCGGCAGAACTAGGTATTTTTGATGACGTCAAAAAATTATTGCCAGAATGACAATAATGTGTTGTCTCTTTCTGCATAAGCAAAGAAACATAAGTAAAAAAGAAACAACAGTATGTTTATGAATTTACCGTCGAGATGGATCTTAAATTCTACCCGTAGACAATAGTCACACATCTAATGTTATATATCTATGGCCGTCATACATATTTTTTCGTCTTTACCTTTTATAAGGCCCCCAAACAAATTATACAGGGCCTCGCCAAGGCACCCTACGCGGTTAGAGTTATCTTCACATTCATTCATACATCGTTAGGCCACTCATTGTGGTAGGCAGAAACAATCAAATGCTAAATAACACGATTCTGGCATACACCTTTCGCTTGATCGATGCAATAATTTAGCAATACACTTGTGTTTGGTATCTGCGAAAGTAAAAAAACTAAATAAAAAACTTACTTAGAACAGTAATATCTATAATTTCATTAATCAATACACAATTCCACTTATAAAACATTGTAGTTTTATATTCTCATCTGTTTGCAAACATAGAATCACTAATTTCTTATGCACTATACTGCAAACTGTGCTGTTGGTAGATATTTGTTCTGCGCTAAGGAACATTGATAACTTCTTAGCATCGAGACGACAGTAACATACTCGAGACATATCTTCGTTTATTTGAGTCTCCGTTTCTGAATCTGAATGTTCTATGGGCCCTGAAATTAATTAGTATTATCAATCAATACAATAGCAATTATTAGATAGTATGCGAGAATACATGCTGGACTATTGGGCCTCCTCTACCAAAGAGGGATTTGTCATGATTGCCTAACTTAGCAAACGAATTAGTAGATTGATAATTTAAAAGGATCAAGTTAAGCCGCTGCCACCCTGTCTTCTCAAGTCCCTTAATCAGATCTTACAAACGGGAAGAATAAGGTTGGCCACAAACGTATTTTAGTGCGCCACCACCTCACGGGGAATCTTTCACTCAATAATAGTCTTTCTTTACATGAATCAAAAGTCTAAAATAATTTATTTACCTCCAAAAGCTTCCACCCTCAGCCCTTTAAACCGCGTGGAGACTTTAGCCATATCAGTCTTAATTTGTAATGTTAGTCTTCCTTCAGCAGATGCTCTGATGACTACATCTGATGCCATAGTTTTCATTCTATCTATGGTCGTCCGGAGTTGCTTTAGAGGCGGTAATTCTATTGATATCTGGGAAAAAAACATTAAATTAGGTACAGAAAGAATCAGTTTTGAAAATATAAGTGATGTGAGAGGGACAACGATACGGTAATTCGGTTGTCTGGAACTTAAGACCCAGCTCATGTGTCTGCGTTACCCAGGCCAGATGTTGTCGAAAATGATCATTTGAATCTTATAGATAATTAGTTTTGAGGCTTCTATAATTGTTGCGCACATTTTTAATTTTTTTGCGCTTATAGTTTTTTAATTAATTTACAAAATCATTTCCTTCTTGAGAAACGTTACCCCAGCCAGACCTTGCAAACTAATTCCTAACTGCAAACTAATTCCTAAGAAGCCATGTACAAAATATGATAAGAATCCGCTTAACCATTTCAAAGATCTAGCAAAACCAAAAACGTTACCCCAGCAAAATCTCGAATAACTTCGCAACCGATGAAAGAACAAATACAAAATAAGGCACAACATTTACTACATCTAGACAACTAGTTTTATAGCTAGTAATTAGAAAGAAAAAATTTTGGCTGGGGGTAACATTACCCCAGCAGGAAATGTTTTTGTGAAATAATTAAAAAAACTATAATCGCAATAAATTTAAAAATGTGCGCAACAATTACAGAAACCGCAAAACTAATTATCTATAAGATTCAAATGACCATTTTCGATAACATCTGGCCTGGGTAATGGACACCCACTTCAGGCTATAAAGAGTGAGGAAGTGAAAAATTCCTCAATTATAAAGTTGACTGCCTCATTGGCCGAGTGGTCGCAAATGCGACTGCCGGGCAAGGTGTCTCGGGTTTCTCGGGTTGGGCAAAATATTACAGGGTTTTTAAAAAAAAAATCTCAGTAGTAGCTCGAAATCTGGAATTGTGCTCGGTATAAGGCAATAGGCCCTTGTTATATAGGATTTATAACATAAATAGTAAAAAGTGGGTGTTACATTGTACAATGGCATTTAAGTGCCGTAATGTGCACCTCTGCCTACAATAAAAGGCGTGATATCATGTTACGTTATGTCCATATAAAGTTTAATAACACTTACATCAGGATCCGGTACCCTTGGCTCATGGTAGTCGCTCCATAGCTTTCTAGGGACCACTGTCACGGGTATATCATGAGTTACTTGGCGAGTCTGCTGTGATACTGTGCAAGGCTGAAATTGGAAAAAATGCCTATATAATCCAATGTTTTACAGTGATTGAATATAATTGAGTAAGTATCGCACAACAATTGATAAATATATGCAATGTACTGCTAAGCCAGGGATTCTTTGTCAGAGTCTATGTGTCCTGAAGGGTATATGAATGTTGCATCTGAATGTTTTCAAGACCTGAGTGAAAAGGTTGCTTATGGGCAAACATGTTCCATCGTAGACCGCATCATCGCTTACCACCAGGCAAGATGGTGGCCAAATTTTGGCCCAACAATAATAAAAAAAATGTTCATACTATGTTTGAATATGCCAACTAAATCGGGTAAGTACCACCTCACAGAGTACCAGCATGAAGTAGTGATCTAATGTTACATTTTCAGGGACTTCTCCCCTGAGGCAATAGAGCAACTCTCAACAATTGCACTAAAAAAAAATGGCAGAGATATGATTTTTTGCATATGGAGTGTAGAGAAGGATATAAACTACATTCTATGAGAAATAGACAAGAGTAAAGCCATAAGTAAAAGCTATATACACTCAACAGTTTGACTGCTGACAGAAAACTGTTGTAGGTAAATCCTCCGCTATTGTGGCTCGTACCTTGTCCCCCCTGGCGTTCAAGGTGTTAAGAGCAAAGAAACAGAGTCACTAGCGTATTTCTTTTTTCATGTCCAAACAAATATTTTCTTGTACAAGTATTTTATTAATTGGTAACATAAGTCACATAAAAAGTAATGTAGTATGTGTTTAAAATGAGAATGTATTATTTTAATGTTCCAAAAGGACTAGTATGTTTTTAAGTGTGAAAAGTTTTAAAAGATCTAGTTGTTTGCCATGGACTGAACGGGTTACCGGGGCTCTGGCTCGAAGTGCAGGAGTAGGAACGGGTGGTTTTTAGTCAGTAAGAGTCTGACACTTCCTCCCGCCTCTCCCAGACGGGAGCAGTCAAACATTGATGATTTTTCCGCCTTAAAAAAAATGGCTCTGTTTCTTTGTTTCCAAGTCTAGTTGAATATAACTACTTTGACTGATGTCTATTGTCTTTACACAAAACATTACTTATACTCACAGATTCAATTTCTAAAGTTAGGCATGGACACTGTTTCTTAGTGAGTTTCATCTTTAATGACTTAGCTGTTTTCAATGTGACTAGTGACCTCGCTAAATTACCTGAAAATTTATACAAAGGAGTATTATCATCAAATAATACCAGATATAAATAACTATTAAACTATACAGGAAAGAAAGAAAGAAAGATTGTTAATTTGTAAAACATGCATATACATAAATCGAGTAATCAGACATGCAAGATGTTAAATAATATGTTGTGCGTCCATGTTTCGCTAATAGTGGCATACAAATTTTATAGGTATAAAGATTATATTCAATTTCATTAACATCAGCAATTTGTACAATAATAGTCATTATTTAATTACATTACAGAGATAAACATATGAATTTGATGTCACAATATTTCATTTGATGTCAGGATAATATATTTACAAGCCTGAGTAAATCTTATTGGAATTTATGAATTGGGAGGTTATATAAAACGAATTGGGAGGCTACATGGCAATTAGGTGTTTTTCCTATTTAATTTTAATAGTTAGTTAAGAATTCTATCAAACAGCAACACAATAAATAGACATTTTGTTATGAAATTTTAGGTTGTTTTTGTACAAGCAGTTAGGTTTAAAAGTTATAAATATTGCAGAAACAGTAATTATTTTAAGTTTCACAGGGATTGTATAGACTAACCTGAGTTTAAAGCTAAATAAATGTCTTTATGTTCTTCATCTAGACCGATCAACTGGTATTCTGAGCATAACATCGCTTGCGGTATTTCACACCATAACACAGGCGGACTCGGCCCACTATTCTCTTCACTCACAATAAAATATATCAAATCATCACTCAATCTTAACACACATTCCTTAGATAATTTCGATATAATTGTTACAACATCTGTAAATAAAGATTTTTGTTAACACTCAACTATGGTTTGACCGTTGTTTTAAATGTTTATGGTGGGTATAGAGTATTGTTAATACTTGAAAATTCCCTCATTGGCCCAGCATCTATCATTACAGCGCGGAATTTCATGTTTTATATCGAATTTTATTCAATAATATATAAAAACACTAAAGTTATCTATAATAATAAATTCGCGGGTTGTGCCACTTTTGTTTTTGTTTTTGACAGTTTGAAATTGAGCATAGACAGTAGAAACGTATAGGGATGTTAACCTATTACTAAAAATGTTTGAAGTAAGGTGCATATTCAATTACTATTTCGAGATATCTTATTGCTTTATCTGCCGAGTCCCCAAGCGGCACCTTGTAGATTTTTTGTAATGAAATTTGAGTGGCGTGCCTTTCACTTTTTATGTCTGTCTCTCTCGCTCTTAGGCGGGCTAACCATACCCGAGTGGAAGGGACGCGTGCCTCTCACTCGCTCTCATTGTGAGCGCATAACGTGAGCGGAGCGTAACGCAGTTTCTTGAAGTGTCACCCGGCAAACCAATTTATAAGACGTTGTCACGTCAAAACACTAACTTTGAAACATTTTAATTAAAGTATTTCAAAAAATTGTATGAAATGACTGATTAAAATGAATGTAGTGTGAAATGACACTTTTTATTACCTACTTCATGTTACAGAATAAACAAAGAAATAAGATGTTGCGTTTTGTGTGTGAACTGTGGGTGTGAGTGTGAGTGAAATCATGAAATGTGATCTATTCGAGAAAAACCCTACTAATTTCGAGTACCTAACAAGATTTATGACTTTTAAATTTTAAGTCATAAAGTTTGTATTACTTATTAAAATTTTGATGTTGATACGCGTCGGTGGTGACATTCCCGCGCCGTGCGTGGTTCCTCATGAATATGTATCACGGTGTGTGTGTGTGTGTGTATATTTAGAATAGTTCATCTGATTAAGCCGTATATTTAGAAAAGAAAATTCACTGAACCCATTACGCATTGGGCTTCCGTATTTTTGCTCACCAGATGGTGCTAGTGTAAAGATAACCCCTCGTTTTTTGAATTGGGAATTAGCTAATGTCACGTCACCTCATTGGACGTTCAATATTTGACAACTGCAGTGATTGTGCTAACAATCTCTTTCTACACTTGCGCTATCTAGTGACTAAAATATGAGGTACCCCTTATTGATTTGAAATGTGAAATCTCTTCATTACATTTTCAATTTGGTTTTGTTTTGTTCTCTTTTTCCAAAATTTACTATAATTCACGAAAAATTTTGTACAAATATTAAAACATTTTAATTATTTATTATTATGTTTTATTATTTAGAACTTCACATGGTCTACGTAACTCAAGGAGTGCACGAAAAAACAAAAAAAAGCAATTTCATACTTACATAAGAATGTTTTAGAAATCAGTTTTAGTCGATTATTTGTTTGTTAATTGATATCAAAACCACCATAGACAACGATCTATGTGTTCTCGTTTCCTACAAAGATGGCTCTGAATGGCGCTGTCGCGTTGATAAAGTTCTATTTACGGTACATCGTTGATCTCTTTCTCGCTTATAAGATTTTACAAAAGAATGAGTGAAATAGACAATGCTCCATTTTGATTGTAACGAATACTAACGAATTGTGGTTATATGACTTGAAAAGTTTTTATTTATTTTTACTAAATTATTGTGCAATTTAAAGGGTTAAATGCTTTGTTACAGTTAATATATTCATCATAATTTTAATTCTTAATTTTATTTTCGTAATATCTCAAGACGAGACGGGCAAATGGAGAAAAATGAAGAGTCAAGGTATGTGTACGATCGATAATGTCGTCATTACGGATGTGTTTATGTGTTATAACCACAAATACACTTTCTTTCACACGTTTTTTTCACTTCTACCTCGCTTATTTATCGCACACAATGTTTTTATTGTCATTCATGTGGGTATTTAATGAGTAAATGTTACACGAGTTGTTTATTTTGGAAAAATATTGGCACACATTCCACCGTTGGCCATAACGTTTTCCCTTCGAATTTGATCTTCGAATGTTTAACGGATTCTTATTTGAAAGAAATTCGTTATTGTATGTTTCAATTATAGGATTTATTGACACGATAAACAATAACAACCAGGTAGGAAGCTGAATTGATAGATATTTCCTTGAGTTAAGAGTATTTTAACGTGATGCAACTACGTAATACGGTTCAATGTCGCCCGTGATTAGGTAGGTGCGTTGATTATGCAATGTTAACTTGTTCATTTTATATGTTCGTATTTCAAACCTGAGAAAATTTTTCATTCATTGGTTATCTTTTATTCGGAAACTATACAGGTGGTTTCGAAATGAGGTTAACATTTGGTATGAACGGTTCTGGTTGAAAAGATAATCTTGCTAGAAAAAGATAGCGTATATTTATAATAGGTAAACATAGCGTTGATACTTGATAGCAACGCTGCGTTCACCTCTATTATCTGGGATTGTTTACTGCAACTTTTTATTTTTACCTTTGATTCTATGGTTGCATCATTTTATTGTATGAAGCACATTTTAAATGCAAATTGATTTTATCTTACCGATTTAAATGGTACCTAAGGTTAACTAAGTATACATGCGTACTCGCTTGTCCTTGGCCGATTTTTATCTCATTATGCCAGATTCAGATAGAATTGGAGCATACATTTCTATGAATTTATTCGTTTCGTTGAATGGTTAGGTTTTGGCTAACCTAACCCTTCATGCCTGCAAAGTCTTAACCATAAAAAAGGTAGGTATAAGGTTTCGTATGTACATTATGGATTAGGGATTAGACGACACAGTATGAGTGCCTACCTAATTGTACTTAGTTGTTGGTAAGTTTACACCCAATAAAAAACTGATTTTTCAGTCTCCCATATATATTAATATAATATATAGTCAAATCGATATCAAAGCGATAACCAAACCTAATTATTTCATTAAGAATCTCGACAACATTCAGAGAACAGCATACAAATAATAATTTGGGGATTAAGTATTGATCGGTTCTCTTGGGTGGTAATATATCGCACAAATTTCAAGGTAAGCAGGATACTCCACCAGAAATGAGGTCATCAGAAGCACATTATCAATACGTGTTCAAATTATTTAAACACCACTGATAAACGGTGAAGGAAAACATCGTGAGGAAACCTAAGCTTATAATTTCTAATCAAAATTTTAATTTGCCAATCCGCATGGGCAAGCGTGGCGATTAATGCTCAAACCTTCTCCGTGTGAGAAGATGCTTTTGGTCAGCAGTGGCCACTTATAGGCTGTTGATGATGTTTATGATTAGAACACTAATGCCCGAATACTCAAACGTTATTCAATTTTAAGTCGCGCTTAAGTATAGTTCTGTCTCTACAAATTCTTTGTAAAATGACAGAGACTGCACGATATTTAAGCACGACTTAAAATTGAGTAACGTTTCAGTATTCCAGCATACGACAATCCAAAAAATCCGAGAACCAACCTTAACAAAATATGTGATATCATCGTATTCTTGGACGAGTTTTGAGATAAAATGGCAGTTGTTCCATCTGTACTTTAACAGTGCGTGATATCCCCCACTATTAGACTATGGGGTCTCCTTTACACAAGCATGTACGAATGTTTGCCATAATTTTCAGACTTTGCAAGCGAATTTATCATCGAGCCTCTCTGTCAGATTTGTACAACCTTCCTCTGCTCTTACGACATCCTTACAAGAGTACGAATGGACAAATGAATTTTAATCTGCCGTCACATTACTTTTTTTAAGGGGGGAAAATCATTGAATGCCTGCTCTAATTGAGTGTCAGACTCTTACTGAGTAAAAACCACCCCGTTCCTTCTCTTGCACGTCGAGCCGGAGCCCCGGTAACCCGTTGGGTTCTCCGCTACAACCGTCACATGTAAAAATGTAAAAAGTTTGTATTCCGCTGCATCTAGTTACGACTAGGTACGATAAAATAATCTAGAGAAAGAATGAAAGCAGGAAGTAACCAAGGATACTTTAATTTACCACCATATTTATGCAGTTGCTACCCCTTTGATCATTTTGAAGCCTTTTATTTTGCACCTAAATGTCAAAATCTGAGTAATGAATTAAGAAACAAAACAAATCGATTGAATTAGTCAAGCCGATTTTAATGGATGCGTTCGCGGCATCCATTCATAATGGCAAAAACTTTAATCACATTAAGGACCGGTTTAATATGAATGTTGAAAAACAGCTGATGTTATTCTTAAATTTTGTGAGAAGAAAACATGTTTAAATCCTGGAGGATTATCATAATTTATTATCATATGGATGAGTGCGATGTAATGACGTCATCTTTGTTATATGCAAGTTGTTATGCGCCGGGCTCGCCCGACTGATATACTAAGTCCCAACATACTATAATTGATTACAATATTTTACAATTCATATTTTTTTCGTTTTTAAGCCTATTCCGTTAACTGGGGTTAAATTCAATGCAGCAAAGAATCTTACTTGACTTCTGTCACCATCTAAGTGATTTTGTTCCATTATGCTTCGGAACTTCCTTGCATAAAAATCGGTCTCTTTTAGCTCCTTAATAGATCATCAACGTCATTTTACATAATATTTGAATAACCAACCCACATAGGCCAAGACATGTTCAAAGTATTATTTTCACGGTCCCTTCACGCTGTAATTGGTACTTTAAATGACATCGGCACCAGGTGCATCCATAAATATAATTCCAAGCCACATGTCGATTGAGTGTTGATTTGATGTACATATCGTGACTAAAACACACTAGAATAAAATAGGGACAAATAAACATTTAAAACTAATTATTTTAGAACCCCTTTTGGGACATCCAGTTCCGTTTATTAGATTTGTAGGTAGTTAATTAAAAAAATTACTCCTTTTAAAAGGTGCTTTATAAAGCTCTTTTGTAACATGAAGCCGCGAACAACCTAACGAAGCAGGAATAGGAACGTGGTGGTTTTTAGTCTGTAAGATTCAGACCCTCCCTCTCGCCTCACTCTCAGCGGGAGAAGTCATTAGATGTCATCTATCTAGGACAATAGACAATGATCATCTGATAGATGATTGTCCTAGATACAGGTCTTATACAAAAAAAGC